AAAAAAAAGACAGTGTTACCTCTTACGTTTTTTCAGTTTTCGGGGCGAAAAATCAAGTTTCTCCAATCTTCTCAAACTCTGGATTATGATAGAGGGCCGCGAGACTTTGACCTGAGCGCAAAAATGGAGGCTCTAGCCCTTCCAGAGCTGAGATATCGAAACTCAAAAATTTCGACCCGAAAAAAAAACGACAGTGTTACCCCTTACGTTTTTTTTCGTTTTCGGCGAAAAATCAAGTTTCTCCAATCTTCTCAAAACTCTGGATTATGATAGAGGCCGCGAGACTTTGACCTGAGCGCAAAAAATGGAGGCTCTAGACCCTTCCAGAGCTGAGATATCGAAACTCAAAATTTCGACCCGAAAAAAAAAAACGACAGTGTTACCCCTTACGTTTTTTTCGTTTTCGGGCGAAAAATCAAGTTTCTCCAATCTTCTCAAAACTCTGGATTATGATAGAGGGCCGCGAGACTTTGACCTGAGCGCAAAAATGGAGGCTCTAGACCCTTCCAGAGCTGAGATATGGAAACTCAAAATTTCGACCCGAAAAAAAAACGACAGTGTTACCCCTTACGTTTTTTTCAGTTTTCGGGCGAAAAATCAAGTTTCTCCAATCTTCTCAAAACTCTGGATTATGATAGAGGGCCGCGAGACTTTGACCTGAGCGCAAAAATGGAGGCTCTAGACCCTTCCAGAGCTGAGATATGGAAACTCAAAATTTCGACCCGAAAAAAAAACGACAGTGTTACCCCTTACGTTTTTTTTCGTTTTCGGGCGAAAAATCAAGTTTCTCCAATCTTCTCAAAACTCTGGATTATGATAGAGGGCCGCGAGACTTTGACCTGAGCGCAAAAATGGAGGCTCTAGACCCTTCCAGAGCTGAGATATGGAAACTCAAAATTTCGACCCGAAAAAAAAACGACAGTGTTACCCCTTACGTTTTTTTCAGTTTTCGGGCGAAAAATCAAGTTTCTCCAATCTTCTCAAAACTCTGGATTATGATAGAGGGCCGCGAGACTTTGACCTGAGCGCAAAAATGGAGGCTCTAGACCCTTCCAGAGCTGAGATATCGAAACTCAAAATTTCGACCCGAAAAAAAAACGACAGTGTTACCCCTTACGTTTTTTTCGTTTTCGGGCGAAAAATCAAGTTTCTCCAATCTTCTCAAAACTCTGGATTATGATAGAGGGGCGCGAGACTTTGACCTGAGCGCAAAAATGGAGGCTCTAGACCCTTCCAGAGCTGAGATATGAAACTCAAAATTTCGACCCGAAAAAAAAACGACAGTGTTACCCCTTACGTTTTTTTCAGTTTTCGGGCGAAAAATCAAGTTTCTCCAATCTTCTCAAAACTCTGGATTATGATAGAGGGCCGCGAGACTTTGACCTGAGCGCAAAAATGGAGGCTCTAGACCCTTCCAGAGCTGAGATATGGAAACTCAAAATTTCGACCCGAAAAAAAAACGACAGTGTTACCCCTTACGTTTTTTTCAGTTTTCGGGCGAAAAATCAAGTTTCTCCAATCTTCTCAAAACTCTGGATTATGATAGAGGGCCGCGAGACTTTGACCTGAGCGCAAAAATGGAGGCTCTAGACCCTTCCAGAGCTGAGATATGGAAACTCAAAATTTCGACCCGAAAAAAAAAACGACAGTGTTACCCCTTACGTTTTTTTCAGTTTTCGGGCGAAAAATCAAGTTTCTCCAATCTTCTCAAAACTCTGGATTATGATAGAGGGCCGCGAGACTTTGACCTGAGCGCAAAAATGGAGGCTCTAGACCCTTCCAGAGCTGAGATATGGAAACTCAAAATTTCGACCCGAAAAAAAAACGACAGTGTTACCCCTTACGTTTTTTTTCAGTTTTCGGGCGAAAAATCAAGTTTCTCCAATCTTCTCAAAACTCTGGATTATGATAGAGGGCCGCGAGACTTTGACCTGAGCGCAAAAATGGAGGCTCTAGACCCTTCCAGAGCTGAGATATGGAAACTCAAAATTTCGACCCGAAAAAAAAACGACAGTGTTACCCCTTACGTTTTTTTCAGTTTTCGGGCGAAAAATCAAGTTTCTCCAATCTTCTCAAAACTCTGGATTATGATAGAGGGCCGCGAGACTTTGACCTGAGCGCAAAAATGGAGGCTCTAGACCCTTCCAGAGCTGAGATATGGAAACTCAAAATTTCGACCCGAAAAAAAAACGACAGTGTTACCCCTTACGTTTTTTTCAGTTTTCGGGCGAAAAATCAAGTTTCTCCAATCTTCTCAAAACTCTGGATTATGATAGAGGGCCGCGAGACTTTGACCTGAGCGCAAAAATGGAGGCTCTAGACCCTTCCAGAGCTGAGATATGGAAACTCAAAATTTCGACCCGAAAAAAAAACGACAGTGTTACCCCTTACGTTTTTTTCAGTTTTCGGGCGAAAAATCAAGTTTCTCCAATCTTCTCAAAACTCTGGATTATGATAGAGGGCCGCGAGACTTTGACCTGAGCGCAAAAATGGAGGCTCTAGACCCTTCCAGAGCTGAGATATGGAAACTCAAAATTTCGACCCGAAAAAAAAACGACAGTGTTACCCCTTACGTTTTTTTCAGTTTTCGGGCGAAAAATCAAGTTTCTCCAATCTTCTCAAAACTCTGGATTATGATAGAGGGCCGCGAGACTTTGACCTGAGCGCAAAAATGGAGGCTCTAGACCCTTCCAGAGCTGAGATATGGAAACTCAAAATTTCGACCCGAAAAAAAAACGACAGTGTTACCCCTTACGTTTTTTTCAGTTTTCGGGCGAAAAATCAAGTTTCTCCAATCTTCTCAAAACTCTGGATTATGATAGAGGGCCGCGAGACTTTGACCTGAGCGCAAAAATGGAGGCTCTAGACCCTTCCAGAGCTGAGATATGGAAACTCAAAATTTCGACCCGAAAAAAAAACGACAGTGTTACCCCTTACGTTTTTTTCAGTTTTCGGGCGAAAAATCAAGTTTCTCCAATCTTCTCAAAACTCTGGATTATGATAGAGGGCCGCGAGACTTTGACCTGAGCGCAAAAATGGAGGCTCTAGACCCTTCCAGAGCTGAGATATGGAAACTCAAAATTTCGACCCGAAAAAAAAACGACAGTGTTACCCCTTACGTTTTTTTCAGTTTTCGGGCGAAAAATCAAGTTTCTCCAATCTTCTCAAAACTCTGGATTATGATAGAGGGCCGCGAGACTTTGACCTGAGCGCAAAAATGGAGGCTCTAGACCCTTCCAGAGCTGAGATATGGAAACTCAAAATTTCGACCCGAAAAAAAAACGACAGTGTTACCCCTTACGTTTTTTTCAGTTTTCGGGCGAAAAATCAAGTTTCTCCAATCTTCTCAAAACTCTGGATTATGATAGAGGGCCGCGAGACTTTGACCTGAGCGCAAAAATGGAGGCTCTAGACCCTTCCAGAGCTGAGATATGGAAACTCAAAATTTCGACCCGAAAAAAAAACGACAGTGTTACCCCTTACGTTTTTTTCAGTTTTCGGGCGAAAAATCAAGTTTCTCCAATCTTCTCAAAACTCTGGATTATGATAGAGGGCCGCGAGACTTTGACCTGAGCGCAAAAATGGAGGCTCTAGACCCTTCCAGAGCTGAGATATGGAAACTCAAAATTTCGACCCGAAAAAAAAACGACAGTGTTACCCCTTACGTTTTTTTCAGTTTTCGGGCGAAAAATCAAGTTTCTCCAATCTTCTCAAAACTCTGGATTATGATAGAGGGCCGCGAGACTTTGACCTGAGCGCAAAAATGGAGGCTCTAGACCCTTCCAGAGCTGAGATATCGAAACTCAAAATTTCGACCCGAAAAAAAAAACGACAGTGTTACCCCTTACGTTTTTTTCAGTTTTCGGGCGAAAAATCAAGTTTCTCCAATCTTCTCAAAACTCTGGATTATGATAGAGGGCCGCGAGACTTTGACCTGAGCGCAAAAATGGAGGCTCTAGACCCTTCCAGAGCTGAGATATCGAAACTCAAAATTTCGACCCGAAAAAAAAACGACAGTGTTACCCCTTACGTTTTTTTCAGTTTTCGGGCGAAAAATCAAGTTTCTCCAATCTTCTCAAAACTCTGGATTATGATAGAGGGCCGCGAGACTTTGACCTGAGCGCAAAAATGGAGGCTCTAGACCCTTCCAGAGCTGAGATATCGAAACTCAAAATTTCGACCCGAAAAAAAAACGACAGTGTTACCCCTTACGTTTTTTTCAGTTTTCGGGCGAAAAATCAAGTTTCTCCAATCTTCTCAAAACTCTGGATTATGATAGAGGGCCGCGAGACTTTGACCTGAGCGCAAAAATGGAGGCTCTAGACCCTTCCAGAGCTGAGATATGGAAACTCAAAATTTCGACCCGAAAAAAAAACGACAGTGTTACCCCTTACGTTTTTTTCAGTTTTCGGGCGAAAAATCAAGTTTCTCCAATCTTCTCAAAACTCTGGATTATGATAGAGGGCCGCGAGACTTTGACCTGAGCGCAAAAATGGAGGCTCTAGACCCTTCCAGAGCTGAGATATGGAAACTCAAAATTTCGACCCGAAAAAAAAACGACAGTGTTACCCCTTACGTTTTTTTCAGTTTTCGGGCGAAAAATCAAGTTTCTCCAATCTTCTCAAAACTCTGGATTATGATAGAGGGCCGCGAGACTTTGACCTGAGCGCAAAAATGGAGGCTCTAGACCCTTCCAGAGCTGAGATATGGAAACTCAAAATTTCGACCCGAAAAAAAAACGACAGTGTTACCCCTTACGTTTTTTTCAGTTTTCGGGCGAAAAATCAAGTTTCTCCAATCTTCTCAAAACTCTGGATTATGATAGAGGGCCGCGAGACTTTGACCTGAGCGCAAAAATGGAGGCTCTAGACCCTTCCAGAGCTGAGATATGGAAACTCAAAATTTCGACCCGAAAAAAAAAACGACAGTGTTACCCCTTACGTTTTTTTCAGTTTTCGGGCGAAAAATCAAGTTTCTCCAATCTTCTCAAAACTCTGGATTATGATAGAGGGCCGCGAGACTTTGACCTGAGCGCAAAAATGGAGGCTCTAGACCCTTCCAGAGCTGAGATATCGAAACTCAAAATTTCGACCCGAAAAAAAAAACGACAGTGTTACCCCTTACGTTTTTTTCAGTTTTCGGGCGAAAAATCAAGTTTCTCCAATCTTCTCAAAACTCTGGATTATGATAGAGGGCCGCGAGACTTTGACCTGAGCGCAAAAATGGAGGCTCTAGACCCTTCCAGAGCTGAGATATGGAAACTCAAAATTTCGACCCGAAAAAAAAAACGACAGTGTTACCCCTTACGTTTTTTTCAGTTTTCGGGCGAAAAATCAAGTTTCTCCAATCTTCTCAAAACTCTGGATTATGATAGAGGGCCGCGAGACTTTGACCTGAGCGCAAAAATGGAGGCTCTAGACCCTTCCAGAGCTGAGATATCGAAACTCAAAATTTCGACCCGAAAAAAAAACGACAGTGTTACCCCTTACGTTTTTTTCAGTTTTCGGGCGAAAAATCAAGTTTCTCCAATCTTCTCAAAACTCTGGATTATGATAGAGGGCCGCGAGACTTTGACCTGAGCGCAAAAATGGAGGCTCTAGACCCTTCCAGAGCTGAGATATCGAAACTCAAAATTTCGACCCGAAAAAAAAAACGACAGTGTTACCCCTTACGTTTTTTTCAGTTTTCGGGCGAAAAATCAAGTTTCTCCAATCTTCTCAAAACTCTGGATTATGATAGAGGGCCGCGAGACTTTGACCTGAGCGCAAAAATGGAGGCTCTAGACCCTTCCAGAGCTGAGATATCGAAACTCAAAATTTCGACCCGAAAAAAAAACGACAGTGTTACCCCTTACGTTTTTTTTCAGTTTTCGGGCGAAAAATCAAGTTTCTCCAATCTTCTCAAAACTCTGGATTATGATAGAGGGCCGCGAGACTTTGACCTGAGCGCAAAAATGGAGGCTCTAGACCCTTCCAGAGCTGAGATATCGAAACTCAAAATTTCGACCCGAAAAAAAAACGACAGTGTTACCCTTTACGTTTTTTTCAGTTTTCGGGCGAAAAATCAAGTTTCTCCAATCTTCTCAAAACTCTGGATTATGATAGAGGGCCGCGAGACTTTGACCTGAGCGCAAAAATGGAGGCTCTAGACCCTTCCAGAGCTGAGATATTGAGATCCCACGTAGCATTTATGCCATTATAAATATCTCAATATCTCAGCTCTGGAAGGGTCTAGAGCCTCCATTTTTTCACTCAGGTCTAAGTCTCATGGCCCTCTATCATAACCCAGAGTTTCAAGAAGATTGGAGACCTGAGTGCAAAAATTGAGGCTCTAGACCCTTCCAGAGCTCAGATATTGGCTGCGTCCGGAATCGCATACTTCCCTTCTATATAGAGTAGGCGAGCAAAAATGTACGTTCGAATCCTCAGTATTCATAAAAGAGTAGGCAAGACTTACCTGGTTGACGCACTAATTATCTCGAGATTTGAACGAGTGCGTTCGAATATCCCTACTTTCCTACCATATAAGCGAAAACAGGACGTGAAAGAAGCAGTACTTTCGAAAATCAGAATTCATAAAAGAGTAGGCGAGAAGTTCCCTGATGATCTCCCTCTTTCGCCCAGATATTTGAGTGCTTGTCCGATTGTACTCATCTATCCCAGGAGGCCACGCGAAAGGATACGTCAATATCAACATCGCGGAGATCAGCGACCCCGGGGGTTTTCAAATGTGAGTAAACACGGTTCCTTGTGTTTAAATCGTATGTGTTAAACTACTATAGATTAATGTTTTAACAGTTGAAGGTGAAAAGGATTTAGACAGTATAGTATAGTTGTGATTTTGCTGTAAACACACGTTTCATTATGTGTAGCTAGTTAACAGGGGAGCTCCAGTACACATAACGTTACGTTTCTAAAGTGGATTTACATAACAGTACACCTTTATTTAAAATGTCTTTTACATCAGGAAGGAAAATATTCTATAAGTATTGGAGATGAGCACATCACAACATGAAAAACTAATCTGAGTGTAAGGTTATGTGTGCTGTGCTATTATGTACGATAATTCGCTGTTGTCAACACTGTTAACATTAGACAAATGTGCTGTAAATAAGGCAAATAAACAACTCTATAAAGTAACTAAACATGATATATTTTTAATTTGTCCCTTATTAGTGTTGATATATTGAGGAACATTTAAGTTGGATTAAAAGTGAGTTAACACATCAATCTCTCAGCATGTAAATGCAGTGTTGAGCTAGTAATGTGAATCTGTCTGTATGTTACAGGGACATGAGAACACGCGTGTGTTTATCCAGTGGAGAGGCTCATGATGCTGAATCATGTCATCAAAGGATTTGAGTGAGTGTACTACAGTAATGGATAACAACATCTTAAGTTGTAGTTTATTTGAATGATTGTAATTTCAAATGGAGAAATTACAACACTTTTCTGATTCCTGATTTCTGTGCATTTGCTGCAGAGTGCAGAACTTTTGTGGTGGAGCAGGACCTGCAAGGAAAGATGATGGCAGCAGCATTTGATGGGGAAAAGAAGGTTTTAGGGAATTTATTCAAATATAAAGTAAGGTTATATTTAATACATAAATCAATTGACATTGTGCTATTAAAATGTCTGCTTTTGTGTAATGTTTGTGCATTTTTGTAGGATCTGAAATGTCTGCAGACTGGTGTGAGCACTGGGGATGAGGAGCCCAAAGCTGAATCCTGGAAGTGGTGCCATGGATGAGTCCCTCCATCTCTCCATCTGCCCTTATGAGTCCCTCCATCACTCCACCTGCCCTTACGAGACCCTCCATCTCTCCACCTGCCCTTATTGCCTCAGATTGTGAAGCGCTTGCAGTTGGATGTGGTGTTCAGAGCCTGTAAATACATGCTTGTAGTTTGAACAAAGCTTTGTTTCATGTGTTGTTGACTTGTATATGCATTTAATTATTGTGCTGGTTACTTTTATTTGTTCTTTTACTCATTTATTCATGTTTCTTATTGTTGTCAGTATATAAAATATAATTATTTAATTAATGTATGCATTAATTCATAGATTGACTGACAATTGAGATGTTTCACTGCATTTAGCAATATCAATGTATTCATGCATAAAGTGTCATATGACAAAACAAATTACATTTTGTTAGTTTTATTAAATTATATTTTTAGTATATAAAAGTTATATAATTAAGTATTGGTCAGCATTTAATATTATTATTTTGTTTAAGTTTTGGGGTGGGCTAACAATGCAATTCATTCTGAGGTAATATTAATTTTTAAGGAGTGATACTTACATTTTTTTTGAGTATAAAAATCGACAGTTTTCTCTAAAAGAGGTCTTCGTCTCCTTCGTGCAGACACAGATTACAAACACAGAGGAAAACTGTTCTAGGTTGTGCTGTCGAGTTACTGATGTTATGAAGTGTTAGTGCACCTGTTGCTCATATCGTTTAAACTTATAACATAAAAGATCATGGAAAGATACCATAGTTGTATGTAACAATCATGACAAAACAGAAAATATAAAGATCATTGGTTTGTGTACATCATAATATGACATCATAAAGTTATATTTATACACAGGAAAAATAACAACAAGGCTAAATATCTTCATAATAGTTCATAATACATAAAAAATGTTTGTTGTTAAACGTCTGAGGGATGAAACGAGGTAAATTCATCAAGAAAAAGAGGAAAACTTAAAGGAGAAAATTTTGGGGGTTTCTTAAAAAAAATATTGTTATAAGAATAACACTGTTGGTCACCTTAGTAGATTTTAAAATATAACAACTAAAATCAACCCTATTCACAAAATAAATGAGCAGCTGTTTCCTCAACAATACCACAACAAAATGAGCAAGTTTCATCAGTATCAAGATATTTATAGATAGATGAATTAAACGTATCGTTCATATATTTTAAGGTGTTGCGCTTGTGATAATGCGCCGTAGGTCACATAATAACGTCAACATGGCAGATGTCCGGTTCGCGTTCATATTTAACGATACTTCATACTATTTGGCTATAAAGTACCTATTCTTTTAGCGGTCGTCAAGAAAGTACTTATTGAAATTAAGTACCAACTCATTGAGTATGCGATTCCGAACGCAGCCATTGAGATATTTATAATGACATAAATGCTACCTGGGATCTCAATATCTCAGCTCTGGACGGGTCTAGAGCCTCCATTTTTGCACTCAGGTCTAAGTACCATGGCCCTCTATCAGAATCCAGAGTTTCAAGAAGATTGGAGAAACGTATTTTTTCGCACCAAAAAAAAAAAACGAAAGGGGTACCACTGTCGTTTTTTTTTTTTTTTTGGGTCGAAATTTGGAATTTCACTGATCTTCTTGAAACTCTGGGTTCTGATAGAGGGCCACGAGACTTAGACCTGAGTGCAACAATGGAGGCTCTAGACCCTTCCAGAGCGGAGATATCGAAAATCAAAATTTCGACCCGAAAAAAAAACGACAGTGTTACCCCTTACGTTTTTTTTTTTTTGGGCGAAAAATTAAGTATCCCCAATCTTCTTGAAACTCTGGATTCTGAAAGAGGGCCATGAGATTTAGACCTGAGTGCAAAAATGGAGGCTTTAGACCCAGCCAGAGCTGAGATATCGAAACTCAAAATTTCGACCCGAAAAAAAAACGACAGTGTTACCCCTTACGTTTTTTTTTGGGGGCGAAAAATTAAGTATCCCCAATCTTCTTGAAACTCTGGATTCTGATAGAGGGCCATGAGACTTAGACCTGAGTGCAAAAATGGAGGCTCTAGACCCTTCCAGAGCTGAGATATCGAAACTCAAAATTTCGACCCGAAAAAAAAAACGACAGTGTTACCCCTTACGTTTTTTTTTTTTGGGCGAAAAATTAAGTATCCCCAATCTTCTCAAAACTCTGGATTCTGATAGAGGGCCATGAGACTTAGACCTGAGTGCAAAAATGGAGGCTCTAGACCCTTCCAGAGCTGAGATATCGAAACTCAAAATTTCGACCCGAAAAAAAAACGACAGTGTTACCCCTTACGTTTTTTTTTTTTGGGCGAAAAATTAAGTATCCCCAATCTTCTCAAAACTCTGGATTCTGATAGAGGGCCATGAGACTTAGACCTGAGTGCAAAAATGGAGGCTCTAGACCCTTCCAGAGCTGAGATATCGAAACTCAAAATTTCGACCCGAAAAAAAAACGACAGTGTTACCCCTTACGTTTTTTTTTTTGGGGCGAAAAATTAAGTTTCCCCCAATCTTCTCAAAACTCTGGATTCTGATAGAGGGCCATGAGACTTAGACCTGAGTGCAAAAATGGAGGCTCTAGACCCTTCCAGAGCTGAGATATCGAAACTCAAAATTTCGACCCGAAAAAAAAACGACAGTGTTACCCCTTACGTTTTTTTTTTTGGGCGAAAAATTAAGTATCCCCAATCTTCTCAAAACTCTGGATTCTGATAGAGGGCCATGAGACTTAGACCTGAGTGCAAAAATGGAGGCTCTAGACCCTTCCAGAGCTGAGATATCGAAACTCAAAATTTCGACCCGAAAAAAAAACGACAGTGTTACCCCTTACGTTTTTTTTTTTTGGGCGAAAAATTAAGTATCCCCAATCTTCTCAAAACTCTGGATTCTGATAGAGGGCCATGAGACTTAGACCTGAGTGCAAAAATGGAGGCTCTAGACCCTTCCAGAGCTGAGATATCGAAACTCAAAATTTCGACCAGAAAAAAAAACGACAGTGTTACCCCTTACGTTTTTTTTTGGGCGAAAAATTAAGTTTCCCCAATCTTCTCAAAACTCTGGATTCTGATAGAGGGCCATGAGACTTAGACCTGAGTGCAAAAATGGAGGCTCTAGACCCTTCCAGAGCTGAGATATCGAAACTCAAAATTTCGACCCGAAAAAAAAACGACAGTGTTACCCCTTACGTTTTTTTTTTTGGGCGAAAAATTAAGTATCCCCAATCTTCTCAAAACTCTGGATTCTGATAAAGGGCCATGAGACTTAGACCTGAGTGCAAAAATGGAGGCTCTAGACCCTTCCAGAGCTGAGATATCGAAACTCAAAATTTCGACCCGAAAAAAAAACGACAGTGTTACCCCTTTCGTTTTTTTTTTTTGGGCGAAAAATTAAGTTTCCCCAATCTTCTCAAAACTCTGGATTCTGATAGAGGGCCATGAGACTTAGACCTGAGTGCAAAAATGGAGGCTCTAGACCCTTCCAGAGCTGAGATATCGAAACTCAAAATTTCGACCCGAAAAAAAAACGACAGTGTTACCCCTTACGTTTTTTTTTTGGGGCGAAAAATTAAGTTTCCCCAATCTTCTCAAAACTCTGGATTCTGATAGAGGGCCATGAGACTTAGACCTGAGTGCAAAAATGGAGGCTCTAGACCCTTCCAGAGCTGAGATATCGAAACTCAAAATTTCGACCCGAAAAAAAAACGACAGTGTTACCCCTTACGTTTTTTTTTTTTGGGCGAAAAATTAAGTTTCCCCAATCTTCTCAAAACTCTGGATTCTGATAGAGGGCCATGAGACTTAGACCTGAGTGCAAAAATGGAGGCTCTAGACCCTTCCAGAGCTGAGATATCGAAACTCAAAATTTCGACCCGAAAAAAAAACGACAGTGTTACCCCTTACGTTTTTTTTTTTTGGGCGAAAAATTAAGTTTCCCCAATCTTCTCAAAACTCTGGATTCTGATAGAGGGCCATGAGACTTAGACCTGAGTGCAAAAATGGAGGCTCTAGACCCTTCCAGAGCTGAGATATCGAAACTCAAAATTTCGACCCGAAAAAAAAACGACAGTGTTACCCCTTACGTTTTTTTTTTTTGGGCGAAAAATTAAGTATCCCCAATCTTCTCAAAACTCTGGATTCTGATAGAGGGCCATGAGACTTAGACCTGAGTGCAAAAATGGAGGCTCTAGACCCTTCCAGAGCTGAGATATCGAAACTCAAAATTTCGACCAGAAAAAAAAAACGACAGTGTTACCCCTTACGTTTTTTTTGGGCGAAAAATTAAGTTTCCCCAATCTTCTCAAAACTCTGGATTCTGATAGAGGGCCATGAGACTTAGACCTGAGTGCAAAAATGGAGGCTCTAGACCCTTCCAGAGCTGAGATATCGAAACTCAAAATTTCGACCCAAAAAAAAATGACAGTGTTACCCCTTACGTTTTTTTTTTGGGGCGAAAAACTAAGTATCCCCAATCTTTTCAAAACTCTGGATTCTGATAAAGGGCCATGAGACTTAGACCTGAGTGCAAAAATGGAGGCTCTAGACCCTTCCAGAGCTGAGATATCGAAAATCAAAATTTCGACCCGAAAAAAAAACGACAGTGTTACCCCTTACGTTTTTTTTTTTGGGCGAAAAATTAAGTTTCCCCAATCTTCTCAAAACTCTGGATTCTGATAGAGGGCCATGAGACTTAGACCTGAGTGCAAAAATGGAGGCTCTAGACCCTTCCAGAGCTGAGATATCGAAACTCAAAATTTCGACCCGAAAAAAAAACGACAGTGTTACCCCTTACGTTTTTTTTTTTTGGGCGAAAAATTAAGTTTCCCCAATCTTCTCAAAACTCTGGATTCTGATAGAGGGCCATGAGACTTAGACCTAAATGCAAAAATGGAGGCTCTAGACCCTTCCAGAGCTGAGATATCGAAACTCAAAATTTCGACCCGAAAAAAAAAACGACAGTGTTACCCCTTACGTTTTTTTTTGGGGCGAAAAATTAAGTATCCCCAATCTTCTCAAAACTCTGGATTCTGATAGAGGGCCATGAGACTTAGACCTGAGTGCAAAAATGGAGGCTCTAGACCCTTCCAGAGCTGAGATATCGAAACTCAAAATTTCGACCCGAAAAAAAAACGACAGTGTTACCCCTTACGTTTTTTTTTTTTGGGCGAAAAATTAAGTTTCCCCAATCTTCTCAAACTCTGGATTCTGATAGAGGGCCATGAGACTTAGACCTGAGTGCAAAAATGGAGGCTCTAGACCCTTCCAGAGCTGAGATATCGAAACTCAAAATTTCGACCCGAAAAAAAAAACGACAGTGTTACCCCTTACGTTTTTTTTTTTTGGGCGAAAAATTAAGTATCCCCAATCTTCTCAAAACTCTGGATTCTGATAGAGGGCCATGAGACTTAGACCTGAGTGCAAAAATGGAGGCTCTAGACCCTTCCAGAGCTGAGATATCGAAACTCAAAATTTTGACCCGAAAAAAAAACGACAGTGTTACCCCTTACGTTTTTTTTTTTTTGGGCGAAAAATTAAGTATCCCCAATCTTCTCAAAACTCTGGATTCTGATAGAGGGCCATGAGACTTAGACCTGAGTGCAACAATGGAGGCTCTAGACCCTTCCAGAGCTGAGATATCGAAACTCAAAATTTCGACCAAAAAAAAAAACGACAGTGTTACCCCTTACGTTTTTTTTTGGGCGAAAAATTAAGTTTCCCCAATCTTCTCAAAACTCTGGATTCTGATAGAGGGCCATGAGACTTAGACCTGAGTGCAACAATGGAGGCTCTAGACCCTTCCAGAGCTGAGATATCGAAACTCAAAATTTCGACCCAAAAAAAAAACGACAGTGTTACCCCTTACGTTTTTTTTTTTTTGGGGTGAAAAATTAAGTATCCCCAATCTTCTTGAAACTCTGGATTCTGATAGAGGGCCATGAGACTTAGACCTGAGTGCAAAAATGGAGGCTTTAGACCCTTCCAGAGCTGAGATATCGAAACTTAAAATTTCGACCCGAAAAAAAAAACGACAGTGTTACCCCTTACGTTTTTTTTTTTTGGGCGAAAAATTAAGTATCCCCAATCTTCTCAAAACTCTGGATTCTGATAGAGGGCCATGAGACTTAGACCTGAGTGCAACAATGGAGGCTCTAGACCCTTCCAGTGCTGAGATATCGAAACTCGCAATTTCGACCAGAAAAAAAAACGACAGTGTTACCCCTTACGTTTTTTTTTTTTGGGTGAAAAATTAATTTTCCCCAATCTTCTCAAAACTATGGATTCTGATAGAGGGCCATGAGACTTAGACCTGAGTGCAACAATGGAGGCTTTAGACCCTTCCAGAGCTGAGATATCGAAACTTAAAATTTCGACCCGAAAAAAAAAACGACAGTGTTACCCCTTACGGGTTTTTTTTTTGGGGCGAAAAATTAAGTATCCCCAATCTTCTCAAAACTCTGGATTCTGATAGAGGGCCATGAGACTTAGACCTGAGTGAAAAAATGGAGGCTCTAGACCCTTCCAGAGCTGAGATATTGAGATCCCACGTAGCATTTATGCCATTATAAATATCTCAATGGCTGCGTTCAGAATCGCATACTCAATGAGTAGGTACTTAATTTCAATAAGTACTTACTCGAAGAGCGCTAAAAGAGTAGGTACTTTATAGCCAAATCTCGTTGAGTATGAATGCGAACCGGACATCTGCCATGTTGAAGTTATCATGTGACCTACGACGCGTTATCACAAGCGCAACACCTTAAAATATATGAACGATAGGTTTAATTCATCTATCTATAAATATCTTGATACTGATGAAACTTGCTCATTTTGTTGTGGTATTGTTGAAGAAACAGCTGCTCATTTATTTTGTGAATAGGGTTGATTTTATTTGTTATATTTTAAAATCTACTAATGTGACCAACAGTGTTATTCTTATAACAATATTTTTTTAAGAAACCCCCAAAATTTTCTCCTTTAAGTTTTCAAAATATATCAAAATATAAAAAGCGTAAAAATATATTTGAATTGGAATTAAAATACTCTGATATGTACAAAATGAAGTATGTACTGAAATACTTTAACAAAATGAATGTTGCTGTCCCAGGGAGTGGAAAAGTTGAAAAAAATAAAAAATAAAAACCTGTTTTATTAAAATTAATACAATTTGATCTAAGTGAATAAATGCATTTGATGAAACTAAATAAAACTAATTTAAATAATATATTTTACACATTTATAATATTGATTATTCAAAGTGGGTCTTTATATACATGAATATAGCTGTTCAATTTTAGAATAGGGGACTCACATGGATGCATCTAAAAATGGAAAAACCCTGCATTAGGCCTAACATTTCCTCAAATCAGAATCCACTCTTGGCCTAAATTAGGAGCCACGTCAAGCGGCTTGGGCTTTCCAGAATCTGACAGCGCGGTGAGGACTGGGACAGCTCATCTCCAGCTCGTGACAACACTGTCGACACCATCAAAACCTCTGAATGCCATCCTGACAGGCACACGCGGTGCAACCACAGGAAGAGAGAGATGCTTCGGCGTATATTCTTACCAGAGAGACAGAGGTTTTTATCCTTTATTTTCTTAAAAAAGGAAAAGTTCATTTCAAACCCAAGAATATTCCAATGCCATTCTACATAATTAACATCCAGGAAATCAAGGATTGAAGGTAAACAATATACAGACAAGGATCTCCTTTTAAAAGTTACACTTAAAATAAGTTCCTTTGAAGGACTTCAGAACACTTCAAATCAGAATTTATTCCTGGATTGTACCAGGAAGCAAAGTCATAAAATCCTCATAAAACGCCTTACGGTACACAAAAAACATCACATGCACCTGAAACATACACGTCAAGACAAATTGAGCTTTTCATCAGAGAACGACAGTGTTAAAAAAAATCAACTGTCAGACTGTCATGGTTTTGATCTAAGAAAGATTTTTATCCGTCTAAACTGACGACATGGCTTGAAGCGTCTCTTTGTGTTTTGTAAAAACCTGCAGATCTGAATCATCAAAGAGTTCTCGTGGACGGGAGAAACCGAACGAGTGTGTCATTTATTTATAATGGAAACAAAAGTGGCGTGTATGAAGATGAACTTGACATGTTTTGTGTAACTAAAACTCTCGTGCCTCTGTGAGCGTTCAAATAAACTTATTTGGTGGAACATAAAAAGCAGCAGTGGATCCTAACTTGTGACAAAAGCATTGAACTTAGCTTGAAAAATATAAAATAAATAAATATTAAAATAATAGTGCTTATGTGTCCCCTGTGAAGGTGAGAGACAGAACCTTTTGTGTGGAAAAAAAATTGAAAGAAAGTTGTGCTCTGTGTTGCTCATCTTTGGGAATCAGAGGTCAACTCTTCTTGGATTTTGTGCAGAAACCACAGATGGTTCAGAAGGGTCCTGACAGTCTTTAGGTGGCCAAATGTGTGCCTGAGCGAGAGGATTTCTGCTAATAACCAGCTGTAGATGCTCTCCGGCCTCTGTGATCAACGGCACAGCTAGACAACAGTCAAAGTCACGAGTCCGTGCGTGATTGACCTGTTAATAAACAAGCAAATGAAATCAGAAGGCGTTCTGCGTATTTTTTTGGCGTTCAATTATTTTTCACTAACATTCAAATGTTTGGGGTTGGAGAATTTATTTATTTAAAGTCTCTTCTGCTCACCAAAGCTGCTTTTATTTGATCATAAATATAGTAAAAACAGTAATACTGTGAAATATTAAAGGAGTAGTTCACTTTAAAAAAAAAAACTTTTGCCGATAATTTACTCACCCCCATGTCATCCAAGTTGTCCATGTCTTTCTTTCTTCAGTCGAAAAGAAATTGAGGTTTTTTGATGAAAACATTACAGGATTTTTCTCCATATAATGAACTTCATTGGGGACCAAACGGTTCAAGGTCCAAGAGACAGTTTTAGTGCAGCTTCACAGGACTTTAGGCGACACCAGACGATGAATAAGGGTCTTATCTAGCGAAACAATCGGTCATTTCAAAAAAAAAAAAAAAAAAAAGTTTCATTCGCTGAATGAACCAAATGACTAAAAAAAATGTGTTCATTTTGATGAACGAGTTCGAACAGGAGAGTCACGAACGCGCATCACAGAACAGAGCAAGGCGAGCATTTGTGCTCTTTTTAATTTATTTTTTAAATGGCCACTCATTTCGCTAGATAAGACCCGGCCTTATTCATCGTCTGGGGTCGTTTAAAGCCCTTTGAAGCTGCACTGAAACTCTCATTTGGACCTTGAACCGTTTGGTACCCAATGAAGTCCATTATATGGAGAAAAATCCTGGAATGTTTTCATCAAAAACCTTAATTTCTTTTCGACTGAAGAAAAAAAAGACATGGACATCTTGGATGACATGCAGGTGAGTAAATAGTAAATAGAAGGAATAGTTCAAACTTCCAAAATATGGGTGACATGAGAGCAAGTAAACAGTGAGAATTTTAGTTTTTGGGTGAACTATCCCTTTAAGAAAAGGTCAGTCGGTTGAATAGATCACCTGTAGAATACGATCATAAGGCCGTAACCCAGCTTGGTCCGCAGGCCCATCAGGACGGATCATGTTCACATAAACACCCTTTTCCAGCAGACCATCGGACACACTGAACCCAAAATCCCTGCTGTCAACATCCTTCCGTAAACAGATCTGAGAGAGAGGGAGAGAATAAAGATCTGTCTGGTAGAAAATAAGACATAACTCAGACCCTGGAGCTGCTGGGAAAGTCAACAGTACCTTATGAAGCTCTAAAGGCATGGATGGGCTCATGTCCTCTGGTACAGCTGTGTTCCCTGAGGTCCTCTCCGGGCTCAGTGCTAGCGCTTTGGTCCTGCTTTCATTCTGCTTCTCGCGGTCTTCGCTCAAACTCAGTGTGCTGCCTGACATTATAGTAGCCTACAGAGGAAATAAAAATGATTTGGGACAACATGAGAGTATACAGAATTCTGGTATTTTTCAAAGACAACTCAAATGTAGCACCTTTCAATGCACAGTCAGTGTTTCGAAGCAGATTTAGGGTGTGTTCACACTTAGGTTGGGTTAAAACGAACCCTGGTGCGATTGCTCTGTTAGTGCGGTTCATTTGAATAAATGTGAACACTGCCATCTGAACCCAAACAAGCGGACCGAGACGCTGAAAAGATGGGTCTCAGTCCGCTTCCAAGGGGTTTGAATGAAAAATGAACACAAGACTGACCAAAAACAGGACATGATGTCACAAGATATGACTCTAAAAAGGGCCGAATGCTCAAGCATATCAGTTTCTCTCATCATAGTCGTGATGTTGCCCATCATAGTTCAGTACAGGCATCAGAACGGCGTGTGTGTGTGTGTGACAGAGTGATTCCTGCTGCTGTTTTGACTCCTTTACACATTTTATAAGCTCTTCGTGAGTTCTCAGCTGGTTAAAATACCATCATATGTAGACTACGCACATACAGCGAGTGCATTTAGCCCAGCACACAGCGTTGTTTTGGATGTTCGGGAAGATGAAATATACATTATAAAAGCCGACCAATCAGGTTGTGAACATATCCCTATGCCGACCAATCAGGTTGTGAACATATCCCTATGCTGACCAATCAGATTGTGAACATATCCCTATGCCGACCAATCAGATTGTGAACATATCCCTATGCCGACCAATCAGGTTGTGAACATATCCCTATGCCGACCAATCAGATTGTGAACATATCCCTATGCCGACCAATCAGATTGTGAACATATCCCTATGCCGACCAATCAGATTGTAAACATATCCCTATGCCGACCAATCAGGTTGTAAACATATCCCTATGCCGACCAATCAGGTTGTGAACATATCCCTATGCCGACCAATCAGATTGTGAACATATCCCTATGCCGACCAATCAGGTTGTGAACATATCCCTATGCTGACCAATCAGGTTGTGAACATATCCCTATGCCGACCAATCAGGTTGTGAACATATGCCTATGCCGACCAATCAGGTTGTGAACATATCCCTATGCTGACCAATCAGGTTGTGAACATATCCCTATGCCGACCAATCAGGTTGTGAACATATCCCTATGCCGACCAATCAGATTGTGAACATATCCCTATGCCGACCAATCAGGTTGTGAACATATCCCTATGCTGACCAATCAGGTTGTGAACATATCCCTATGCCGACCAATCAGGTTGTGAACATATCCCTATGCCGACCAATCAGGTTGTGAACATATCCCTATGCTGACCAATCAGGTTGTGAACATATCCCTATGCCGACCAATCAGGTTGTGAACATATCCCTATGCCGACCAATCAGATTGTGAACATATCCCTATGCCGACCAATCAGGTTGTGAACATATCCCTATGCCGACCAATCAGATTGTGAACATAACCCTATGCCGACCAATCAGGTTGTGAACATATCCCTATGCCGACCAATCAGGTTGTGAACATATCCCTATGCCGACCAATCAGGTTGTGAACATATGCCTATGCCGACCAATCAGGTTGTGAACATATCCCTATGCCGACCAATCAGGTTGTGAACATATGCCTATGCCGACCAATCAGGTTGTGAACATATCCCTATGACGACCAATCAGATTGTGAACATATCCCTATGCCGACCAATCAGGTTGTGAACATATCCCTATGCCGACCAATCAGGTTGTGAACATATCCCTATGCCGACCAATCAGATTGTGAACATATCCCTATGCCGACCAATCAGATTGTGAACATAACCCTATGCCGACCAATCAGATTGTGAACATATCCTATGCCGACCAATCAGATTGTGAACATAACCCTATGCCGACCAATCAGATTGTGAACATATCCCTATGCCGACCAATCAGATTGTGAACATAACCCTATGCCGACCAATCAGATTGTGAACATAACCCTATGCCGACCAATCAGGTTGTGAACATATGCCTATGCCGACCAATCAGGTTGTGAACATATCCCTATGCCGACCAATCAGATTGTGAACATAACCCTATGCCGACCAATCAGGTTGTGAACATATGCCTATGCCGACCAATCAGGTTGTGAACATATCCCTATGCCGACCAATCAGATTGTGAACATAACCCTATGCCGACCAATCAGATTGTGAACATATCCCTATGCCGACCAATCAGATTGTGAACATAACCCTATGCCGACCAATCAGATTGTGAACATAACCCTATGCCGACCAATCAGGTTGTGAACATATGCCTATGCCGACCAATCAGGTTGTGAACATATCCCTATGCCGACCAATCAGATTGTGAACATAACCCTATGCCGACCAATCAGATTGTGAACATATCCCTATGCCGACCAATCAGATTGTGAACATAACCCTATGCCGACCAATCAGGTTGTGAACATTTCCCTATGCTGACCATCATTGGTTGACAATGATTTATTTTGGGTTAAGGATTGTGGTTAAATTAATTATATAGTATAGATGCTGGTCAAATGGCCAAGTAATTTGAACAGGGAGACATAATGATTAAATCCTGCACAATTAACACAGATCGTTTGAGTTGAGTCCCAGTTGCATTTACCTCAAGTTCCCGCAGGATTTCCGATTGGCCGCAGGTCTCCAGATCCTGAAGAGCTTGTGACCAATAGTTCTCCTGTGCGTCTGTATTGTTGTGGTTGTGACCGCATGCTGGACTGACAGATCTGTGTCAATGCAAAGCAACCTGGGTAATGTAAGGCCAGGTGTACTATTGGAAACGAATCTCTCTCTCTCTCTCTATATATATATATATATATATATATATGGCCTATATATATAAAACTGTACTGCATGGCATAACTGAAAGTCACTGTAAAAGATCCTCCTCAACTACAAGAACATGGCGGTTAGAGAAAGAGAAACACACAGATGTGTCTGAAGAACCGTGAACTAGTTCCAGCGATAAAAGAATACAATTATGAAAATGAGCAAAAAAGAAGCACACAAGGGCAGACGACAGCGTGTGGCCGACGGATGATTAGTAAGGCAGACGAGAGACAGAAAACCTGAGAAAAAATAGAAAAGAGAAAAGTAGGACCATACAGAGACTGTGGAAGCAAACAGGCAAGTGGTTTCTGTGCTAGACAGTGTGCATGTTTAATAAACGTCTAACCACAGAAACGAAAACAGCAACATTAGATTCAAAAACCTCATATTGTTTTATCTAGGCATAAGAAAGGCATTTCACTTTCCACTGGGATCATCAAAGTTAATGAATTCACAGTATATTCCTTTTTTTACGGTATTGCATGTGTAATTTATTACAATTAACACTGTTATTTAAGCAGCTTAGTGCTCAAATTTCAAATATTTGGGTCTGTTTTATAGTACATTAATCACTTATGTTTATGTTCGGGTGAATTTTTACTACTTGCTGCTGTTGGTCGCTTTTGGTTATGTTTTGTAATGTTTATCTAAATATGTGCATATATATATATATGTATACAGACTACCACTCAAAAGTTTTGGGAGCTTTATTCAATAAGAATGCATTTAATTGATCAAAAGTGACAGTTAAGACATTTATATTGTAACAAATTATTTCTATTTCAAATAAATGCTATTGTTTTGAACTTTCTATACATGAATGCTGCTGCATGATGCTGAAAATTCAACTTTTCATCACAGGAATTAAAATATTAAAGGAGCTGTTCACTTAAAAAAAAGAAAAAGAAAGAAAGAAACTTTTGCTGAGAATTTACTCACCCCCATATCATCCAAGATGTCCATGTCATTCTTTCTTCAGTCGAAAAGAAATTAAGGTTTTTGATGAAAACCTTAATTTGTGCTTTGTGCTTATAAAACTTAATTTAAAAAAAAAAAAAATTTAAATGAACCCTCGTTTTGATAAGACCCTTATTCATAGCTGGTGTCATTTAAAGCTGCACTGAAACTCTCATTTGGACCTTGAACCGTTTGGACCCCATTGAAGTGCATTATAAGGAGAAAAATCCTGGTATGTTTATCAAAAACCTTGATTTCTTTTCGACTGAAGAAAGAAAGACATGGACATCTTGGATGACATGGGGGTGAGTAAATTATCAGCAAAAGTTTGTTTTTAAAGTGAACTACTCCTTTAACCAATATAGTAATTATTCTATTTAGATTCTCAATAATGTGATAAAAATATTTCCATTATTTACAGTATTTGTATAATTAAATCAGCATAGCCAAATTATGCATGTATCAAATCATCTATCTTTAAAATATGACCTAGTGATGTTCTTGACAGATTTCATGAGGTTCACTTGTTTCATTTTTAAGCGCATACATTTACATGGGAAATAATAAAGAGAAAGAATAACAGCCACATGATTGTGTGTTAGAAACAAAAGAAATGTTCTTATGCACAAATGTCCTTCTGATACAAACAATCAGCTGTTGTTATGCTTATTTTACTCATCAAGCTCCTGACTAGTATCTCTAAGATAATACAGACTAAATATTGCAACAGAAGAAATAATCCACAAGCTGTGTCCCTAAACAAACTCACCCAGAGTACGTCCAGTCCTCTTCGCCCAGACTCCCATCATACATTGCAGTGCGGTGGGCGTGTCTTCTGGAGATCAGCGGGCTCCTGTGATTGGTCTGTCTCCAGTCATTGGGATGAAGGGTGAAATCATTTGCTCTATGAATATAGACACCTGAAAATAAAGGGTTAGGTTTGCTTATGAACAAATATTAATACAATTTGAGAGCTACGGTAAAGGGGAAGATTTTGCACAATATTTATAGTGATTTTGTGTCCTTTTGGAGCTTAAAAGCACTGTATGCTTTCATTGTATGGAACAGTAGCTTGGGAATTCTGCCAAATTTCTTCTTTTGTACTCCACGAAGAAAGTCATACAGATATGGACATTATGAGGCACACATTTCATTTTTGGGTGAACTTTAGTAATTTGGCTTGCCATTACACCAAATTGTTATAAGAATTCATAAATTACATTAATAAATTACAACTACTGAAATATAATATGTAAAAAAAAGTCAACTGCTTGATTGTTATATTATCAAATAATGTAAACTATATTATCATCCAGTGATGAAGTTGAATATATAAGAGATATAGTAGTTTTACTTCACCTGTACATAGAGGAAACTCAAGTAAATTGACTGATCGTTTATATTGATGCAAAATGTTACTATATTTTTTGCCCAGCTCTTTATATAAAGTTGGATATTGATTATATCTATATACATGCATATACACTCATACTTACATAAAGCAATATATACATATATTAGATCTCAACTGCCTGATTTATTGTCACAAACTATGAAGGGTATGCAGAAGATATTAAGATATTATAAACATTAACATCATGATTTTCTGTAAAGCTGCTTTGAAACAATGTGTACTGTAAAAAAACAAAAAAACAGTAACACAAATAAATGACTTGAATTATCTCTTTAAATTTCCAAGGATCCTTCAATGACCTCAGAAAACTCTCAGGACATGCTCCACATTTCACTTGGTAACATTCAATTAGGTTATTCTTCATCTAATCCCAGGGACTTCTGTACCTTGACTTCCATAGCCGGCGTCCAGAGCCGAGCTATCCCACGAGTCCATGGCTGAATCTTGACTGGGCGGTGTGGTCAGACGCTGAAGTTCAGAGTATTTACCCCGCCTGAGAGAATCCGAGCGATCGTCTTCCATGTCGCTCACGCATGAACCCGTCCTGGACGGGCTGCCCCTGTCCGACCCATAAAGTGCTGGAAAAGGCAGATGTGGGTCACGAGGACAAGCATTGATGCATTATTCATAGAGATGCACTTCCCAGCGTCGTAAATGCTTACATGCATACATCTTAAATCTGACACTTACGATCAGATCGTTTCTTGATCTTGAGCGTAACCGTGTCTCCGGCGGTCTGCAACAGGTGGATGGCCTCGCTCAGAGGTTTCCCCTTTAGACTCATGTTATTGATGGCCAAGACACGGTCACCGATATGAAGAGCGCCAGTCCTACACACACACACACTCTCATGTATTAGTCAGATAACACTCACTGCACTGCAGTTCCCACACTACCCACTAGGTATCAGATGTGAGCTTGCCATTAACCATGTCAGATGATGTGTGTTATGAAACATGCCCATTTGTACTGCTGCATGAAGCACTGGATGAGGCTGTGAGTGTTTGTGTGCACCTGTGCGCAAGGCCGTTGCGGGTCAGGCTGGAGATCAGGATGGGATTGAAGGGCTCTTCAGTGCCTGAAATGGTGATTCCAAGTGGACCGCCGTGTCTCTTGAGCTCTACTGTGAATATGACCGAACCCGAGGACTCTAATTCATCTACAATATTTAGAGACATACAGAAGTTAAAAGTGCATACATTAATAGGTTAATTATGTAATATTATATTATTTATTCATATTTTTCATTAGAACCAAAAATGGATGCACTTTTTGATGGAAATAACATCACACATCAAGGAGCACTTTCAATACATTTAAGGTCTGGCCCATTAATACACGTACATTAAATTGCACATTAACATTTCTTAAAGAATACACACAGAAACACACTCACCCAGGTTGTCTTCGTCTTTTTGAATTCGCAGTTTGACCATCCCCTCGGCCTGCTGGAGGACCATCATGGCCTCTTCCATCCCACAGTTATCCAGCCGAACATTATCAACAGCCAGCAGACGATCACCTGGCTCCAGGGTTCCTATTCTATTATAAAAGGCCATTTCGCATCAATCAGTGAATAAGAAACATCACATCTGTCATTTTGCCTCTTTAAAAGCAAATTCATTGGTTTAATGTGCTGTACTGTAGGTTTACCTATGTGCAATACTGCCTCTCTGGATCTCAGAAATGATCAGAGGCTTTCCTGGCTTCTTGCTTGCTATAAATCAGAATTCATGGGAGTTGGAAATAAAAACAAAAATTTGCAATTACCACCTCAAATATTGTATATAATAGTATATAGAGAGCATTGAATGCTAGGCACATTATAATTGCTGTTACAGACAAAAGTTGCATTATCTTATTTATGCATTTGGACTGTGAAATACTATGGATCAACAGCGCCCCCTGTTGGCAATCACTCACCACTGATCGTAATGCCAAGCTCCACTCCACGTCTCTTGGGCAACTTCACCTGAAATGTGCCACTGCTGGGAATGACCGATTCTGAGAGACACACAAAAATCTGTGTGTTTACATCAAATTTAAAAATAACTTGAATTGCTGATTTTTTACTGAAATGACATTTTGTACCTGCGACATCAAACTCCACCTCCAGTGTGACCTTATTGGCCAGAGCTGCATCTCGGAGCAGCTGATTGGCTTCTTCCAGAGTTCCGTCCTCAGTGGGAATTCCATTAATAGAAAGAAGTCTGTCTCCGACTTGTAACACCCCACACCTTGAATGCAAAAATAAACACAACATGCATTCAAAGACCACACATGCACAACAATACAAGAAATGAGAAGACAAAGAATCTATTATCAATGATTATAAATGAAGATGCTACATTTACAATACCATTCAAAAGTTTGGGGTCTGTGAGATTATTTATGTTTTTGAAAGAAATCTATTTTCCTCACCAAGGCTGCACATTTATTTGATCAAAAACACAGTAATATATTACTACAATTTAAAATGTCATATCAAAGCTAAATTTTCAGCAGCCATTACTCTAGTCTTCAGTGTCATAGCGTCACATGTTGAAAACAGTTGTGCTGCTTAATATTTATGTGCAAACTTCTTTCAACGAACTTTATCTGAAATAGAAATAGAGACATGATTTATTTGAAACAGAAATTTTTGCAAAATTACATGTCTTTTCTGTCCCTGTTGACCAATTTAATGCATCCTTACAGTATTCATTTCTTTAAAAAAAAAATCTTACTGACCCAAACATTTGAATTAAACAGACTCAACATTTCTATGTAGTTTAAACTTGATTGTTTGTGTTTTGATATATTGGATTTGGGACGTCAATAGAATGATAGCAACTGTGCAGTAACATCTTCAACCCTGAACTGAGCTGTGACATCTTGGTACAGTGCCAAATCAACATCTCAGATGCAGTAAGGCTTGTGTTCGTGTATGTGCACGTAAATGTACATACATCTATCCACAGGCTCTAAGTGTACAAGACAATGGCGTCAGCATGCATCGCATCTAAAGTTGGACAGCAGTGTCCTCTCACCTTTCAGCAGGTGTGTCAGGCTCGATAAAGCGGACACAGGCAGGCGCTGACAGGGGTTCTGTAGCAAACACTCCCCCCTGTAACTGCAGCCCGAATCCAGTAAGAGGATCTCCTCTCAGAAACACCTCACTGGTTTCTAGATGCACCACCTGACCACCAGCGCCCAGTGTACTCGATGCCAGAGACACTGAGAGACAGGAGAGTGAGCAAATCTTGTTTTAATCCAATAATTATTGGCCAAGGAAGGAAGTCAATCAACATCTCAGGAAGGAAGAAAGGAGGGAAAGAAATCAACATCTAAGGAAGGAAGGAAGGGTGGATGGATGGATGGATGGATGATGGATGGATGGATGATGGATGGGTGGGTGGCTGTGTGGATGGGTGGATGGATGGATGGATGATGGATGGGTGGGTGGATGTGTGGATGGGTGGATGGATGGGTGGGTGGATGGACTGGGTAATTGGATGGATGGTGGGTGGATGGATGGATGGGTGGATGGATGGTTGGAGTGGATGGATGGATGATGGATGGGTGGATGGGTGGCTGTGTGGATGGATGGGTGGGTGGATGGAGTAGGTAATTGGATGGATGGGTGGGTGGATGGATGGATGGATGGATGGATGGATGGATGGGTGGGTGGATGGATGGATGGATGGATGGATGGATGGATGGATGGATGATGGATGGATGGATGATGGATGGGTGGGTGGCTGTGTGGATGGGTGGATGGATGGATGGATGGCTGTGTGGATGGATGGATGGATGGGTGGGTGGATGGATGGATGGTTGAAGTGGATGGAAGGATGGATGGATGATGGATGGGTGGGTGGGTGGGAGGATGGCTGTGTGGATGGATGGGTGGGTGGATGGAGTGGGTAATTGGATGGATGGGTGGGTGGATGGATGGATGGATGGAAGGATGGTTGGAGTGGATGGATGGATGGGTGGGTGGATGGATGGATTGGTGGATTATATGGATGGATGGATGGATGGAGTTCACTCACAGGAGCTCTTGTGGTCTTTTCTCCGGTGTCTCCTCTTGCTGACAGTGCAGCGAGGGCTGGATGGGTGGGATGGCAGTGTGTTACTGGGGTAGGTGTTGGGATACGTTGATTGGGTGCCACAGTTGTAGCTATGAAAGCCTGAGGTGTTTGCAGAGGAGCCAGACGTCGCAGCTGGAGGACAGAGAAGATTCGAGATCAACAATACTGGAATCGTCTGATCGGTGTATGGTTGTATGTGGAATGGAATACTAGCATACTGCTTTAGTGTACAGTATGAGTGACAGCCGAACTGTAAATAATTAGCATTGTATTGTAATAAAATAAATAAAAATGTATATATATATATATATATATATATATATATATATATAAACATTAAAATAAATAAATATATAAAACAAAATAAATAAATATATAATAAATAAAATAATAGTTTAGCGATAAAATAAAAATGAACTAATAAACAATCATGCAAATAAATAAATAAAAAATATATAAAAAACAAATAAAATACATTTACTTCAAATAAATAAATCAAAAGTAATAAATAAACAAACAAACATGCAAATAAAAAGTATTCATGCTATTACTTCCTGTTTTTGCCGATGTACTTGAACTTGCACAATACATTGTGGAATACAGTATTTCACATGGTACTCTGTGCTTTCTATCTTAAACATTTTGGCAAATGTAGTACAGAAGGTCTTCCAAATCTACATACTTCAAAGCAAAGTATAAGTAGTATATAAGTATGCCATTCTGATCGTACCCTGACCTGCACCTCAGGCAATTCATTAGATTTATAAATGATTAAATTGCATCTGGTTTATACATATACCCCAGTTTCACAGACAGGACTAAAATGCACATTTGAGCAGAAAGCAACTTATAAAATATCAGAGCCATTGTTTTGTCTCAAGATGCCAGTAATTTTAGTTTTTTACCAATAGGTTTTTTTTTTACTATACCCAATACCTAATCCTGGTCCTGGCTGTGGAACCAGGTCTAAATGTGACAGGACATTATGAAGACGTGCACATAGGGGACACTCACATCGGTGTGAGGGTGTAGGGGTGGTGTGACTCCAGGCTGAGGGTGTTTTTTGCAAAGGTGGAGGAGCGCTGGTGTAGTTCTCACTACAGTCCCACTGGCGCTGACTACTCCTCTGGACTCGTACTGCAGGGAAAACATAGACAAGACACAAAATGGCCAGTAAATTGGTTATTTCTGCTGAACACATGTTTAATGTTACAGCACTCAGGCTGATATACGCCTGTAGACAGATCTGATGTAGACTGAATGTCAATGATCAGTGAAGCAGAGCAGATCAGAGGGCTGGATCCGAGACGCTGCTCATAGGCATGCGCTTCGTTCTTTCTCTTACATTTTCGGGCCAGCTCTAGTAAGGCTGACAGCAGTGGAGGAACCATCTTAAAACTCTCTCTTAGCTCACGTTTGGAAACAAATGCTCTGCAAGACAGATAGAGGACATTGTTTTGGATTCTGACAGAAACAGATCCTTCTGACACTATACAGCTGTGTCACTAACGATGCTTAATTAGACATGCAGCGTGTCACACTCGTTAGGAAGAGCCCCGCCCATCAGACAGAGAGAAATCTGCACATCAAAGAGGTCCTGTACTCTCTTTTTCTACAACTATGCAGTTATTTCAATTATATATATATATTCCTGATACTGAGCTTTAAGACCATGGAAAGCAATTGTCGTGCTTTTAAGACAAAATTAGGCCCTGATCAAACATTTACTGTAACAATGAAATATTTGGGACATGTTACTTGCAAAAAATAGTATATTGTCAGAATGCATGGCTGCTAGATGGTGTAGTTATGAGATCTACCAGCAGAGACTAACTGGACTATGCTAGCCAGCCAAACCAATTAGTTGAATATTGCACATTTTTGCAAATATAGTAGTTAGTCCAACAGCCAACTGTTTAGATTCAGAAAATTAGCATCACACGCACAGTATATATACTGAAAAATAAAACTATGCCATTAAAAACATACCCAAAATATCATGGAATAAGTGTTTCCACTGATATACTTGTCAACAGTGTTGTTATTGTTAAAGTATTAAAAAATATTAAATTAAAAAATAGAAGTAACAAATATATCAAATAACTTAACAACTTGACAACTACAGTAAAAATGACAAAAGCACATAAAATCATAAATACATTCAAATGAAAACTAAAAGTAAAACTAATCAAAATACTATTAATACTATCATAGTATATAATTAATGCTAAAATAACACAGTTTGTCAATCAAACAGACCACGTGTGAATGGACCAGAATAAAATCTGTAGACTTCCAAGAAACTAGAAATTATTTTATATGATAACTGAGCACCACCTGGGGAATTAAAAATGCAAATGAGGAAGGTCATGTGACATTACAATAAAAGATATAGCAGACTGCAGTTTAACTTTTGTATGTGTTCTGTCACTACCATTGAAAAATGTGTATCAATAGGATTTAAAAAAATAAATTCATATTTTCATTCTGCAAGGGAACATTAAATTGATCAAAAGTGAAAGTAAAGACATTTATAGTGTTACAAAGGATTTGCTATTTCATATAAATACTGCTCTTTACTTTTAATGATTCCATTCATTAAAGTATCCTTAAAAAATATCTCAAAAATGTTAAGCAGCACAACTGTTTTTAACATTGATAATAGTAAGAAATATTTCTTGAGCAGTAAATCAGCATATTAGAATGATTTCTGAAGGATCATGTGACACTAAAGACTGGAAAATTCAGCTTTACATCACTGGAATTAATTACATTTGACTATATATTCAAATAGAAAACTATCATTTATTTTAAATTGCAGTAATATCTCACAATATTACTGTTTTTTATCAAATAAATGCAGCCTTGGTGAGCATTTGAGACATCTTTCAAAAACAAGAGCTTTTGAACTGTAATGTATTACTAGTTTTTTTTAGTATTTTATAACATACTAGTGTATATACTGTACTATACACTATATAATGCTAGTATTCCATTCGGTACATTCCTCAGTTTTCAATTCTGTCGTGTGGAAAATGACTCCACATATGAGATTATTCTGACAGACGAGCTGCACAGTGAGCTCAAGCTTCAGAAAAAGAGGACGCAGGTGTACAAATCACTTCATAACTGCTGTGCGCCTCTTCATATCGCATTTCTAGAAAATCCAATGATACAGTCAGAATGCGGTTTTCTAGTAACACGGTAAAGCCAGAGTGAAGGCTCTGAGCTCATTGTGTGTGTGTGTGTGTGTGTGTACTCATGTCTGTAGGGTAAGTCTTGCCTGCGGTGCTCTGCACATTAAGAGTGACTCATGATACTTTTAAGAAAGTGGCCCAAAGCTGGATGCCAACAACCACTACAAACCAACACTGGCACACATAAAGGTCAAAGAAAGACAGAAGGAGAGAAGGAGAAAGCAAGATGAGACAAGGATAGATTCCAGTAAGACCAAAAGCATAAATAATCAGATGTGAACTGAATTCCTTCTGTAAATATGGAGAACAAACACAAACAGGATCTGAATTAAAAATAGGACCTATAGATAATGCTCTTATTGTGCTAATGCTGGCAGACAGGCAATCAGTGTGGATGTCCATCTTGTTAAAAACAAATGCATTTGCATAGTGCTAACGGCGCAGTACAAAATGATTTTATTTTTTACAATATAAAAATAGTATGTGAAACAGTCTGGGTAAAAAGATACATTTCAAACTGTATGCTACACTTTTTGACATGTGATCTCACTATATTGAGTTTTTTTATTACAGCAAGTGGTGTCCAGATCAAATAAATAAATAATATGTGAAACGGTCTGGCAAAAAAAAAAACATTTCAAAGTGTAGTGTGCCATGTTTTTTGTCACAGTTTTTAACTTAGTAAATGGTGTGTCCAAATAAAATTAAATTATGTAAAATGGTACTGCAAAAATAAAAAAATTTATTGTACTATGCTATGATTTTAATTCAGTGGTGTCCAAATATATTTTTAAAAATTAAAATGATTTAAATAAATAGTATGTGAAACGTCTGGCAAAACAAACAATTGCGATTTTTTTTTCTCAGAAATATGACTTTGTCTTGCAATTGCGACTTTTTTTCTCAGGAATACTTTATATTTGCGCAATTGCGACTTTTTTTCTCAAACTTATGACTTTATATTTCGCAAATCAGACTTTTTTCTCAGATTTACGGCTTTGTCTCGCAATTGCGACTTTTCTCAGAATTACGACTTTATATTTCGTAATTGCGACTTTTTTCTCAGAATTATGACTTTATATTTCGCAAATCAGAATTTTTTCTCAGATTTATGACTTTATATCTCGCAATTGCAACTTTTTTTCTCAGAATTATGACTTTATTTCGCAATTGCGACTTTTTTCTCAGATTTACGACTTTATATTATGACTCTATTTTCTCACAATTCGCAATTGTGTGATGAAAATTCGCAATTATATATTTATTTATTTTATTCAGTGGCGGAAACAAGCTTCCATAGCATGGTCTGCACAGAATTAGCATTAGAGTAGTATGCTCTTGCAAACAGAACCAAAGTAAAGTTGCTTGTGTATAAATTCAGATTATCTGAGCATGTGAATTTCAGTCACTTTGAGCATTGAGAACGTGTTTATAGCGATATGTTTTGTAAATGCCCGTGTGCCTGCAGACCTGTGTCATGTGTGCTGTGCTGAGACGGCAGGATCTCTAGTTTGGTGAGCTCTGAGGAGCTGGACAGGAGCTGTTGAGCCTCCATCAGAGAGCAGTGCTCTGTGCTCATGCCATCTATAGCCAGGAGAATATCTCCAACATGCAAAGCACCACATCTGAGAAAAAGAGGGAAAGACAGCAAGAGAGAGACAGATAGTGGTGGTAACAAGGAGAGAAATTCACTTATGTTGAGAAAAGCAAGAAACAGCGAGAGTGAAAACGACAGCAGGCTAGAAGGTGTGAGGTGAAAAAGAAGAGGATTGCTACATGTTTGTTATAGATATATGAAGAATAGACATAATGCAGATATAATGATTAGTAATATAAATCTGATTTTATATGTACACATTTTTGGGGGAAATTATTTAAAACTACAAATTCTCAAAAAAATATTTGATTTTAAGTTGAACTGCATTATCATTGACAACATAATCGGTCAAATATCAACCAATTGTGTAAATCGTGACAGAACTATCTGCTTGGTAATGTATTTGTGTATGTGATTCTGTTCATGCATCATTGGTTCTAAATGTGTGTGTTTGCATTTGTGTGCTCACCTGTCTGCAACACTAGCTGGCTTGATTTTCTGGATTGTAATGACCTGTTTGTTCATGTAGAGGGAGGTGGTGAGACTGAGTCCAAGTACTGATCCCGCGGAGCGCGCGATGTCCACCTGCAGTGGCCCGGAGGACTTCTGGACCGAGTCTGATGCGAGGCCAAACCAGAACCAGAGAGAAGCAGAAAGATGAGGTATTTTAGTTCTAAAATTCAGGAAACCATCAACCATATTCTTTTTTCATTCATTTTTTTTTTCATTCGTTCATTCTTTTTCCGAAACTTTTGATAGTGTGGACTCAGTAAGATTTTTATTGTTTTTTATTTATTTCATTTTTTTTTTAAATGTTTAAATATGATACTACAGTAATACTGTTAAATATTTGTTTTAATGTAAGTTATTCCTTTAAATGATCCTTTAGAAATCATTTTAATATGCTGATTTGCTGCTCAATATACATTTGTCAATATACATACATCATTATCTACAGTTGAGGATTCAGGATTAAAAAAAAATCAGTAAAAAAATCAGGATTCTTCACTGAATAAAAAGTTAAAAAATGAACCGCTGTTATTTTAAATATGAATATTTTATAACATTATAAATGTCTTTACTGTCACTTTTAATCAATATCCTTGCTGAATAAAAGTATTTAAAAGTAATTAACACCCAAAAAAACAACAACCTCTAAACAGTAGTAGAGGAAAGAAACCCCATTTGATGGGTTATATTATCTCGGTTAAATTTAAGGGTACGCTAACACGACAATGTGCGTTTTTTCGCGCCATACAGACAAGGTTGTCAAAACTAGTGATCGACCGATGTATCGGTTTACCGATATTTAAGCATTTTCACATAATCGGGTATCGGTTTTGTAATATTGGATTCGCCGATAAACGGTGCCATCTTGTGGCCGTTTTGAGAATTCCGCCATTGCAGAACGCGTCTGAGGAGATTAGTCAACAACAACTCTGTGCACAGCTAAAGTAAATGTTCTACTTGCTTTGCTTTAATTATTCAACTTTATTTAACTTAATAGACACTCAGAAATGAGATTTGAGACATAAATGCCTGATATAGTTTATTTATGCAGCATGGTTCTAAAAAATTGAGACAAACTCATGGAGTCACGTATGGTAGGCTAATCCGTCATGCCCTGCCCCAATAAAGACGTAACTTTACATGAATTAAATAAAACAGACATGAATGAGTGCATTTTGAAAACAAAAGTGCTGAATTTAACCTTCAAATGGTCTTCGTTTCCTGTTTACACTTCTGGGCTTCAGGGTCTATACGACCCCAACAATTGATTGAGTAATTGTACAAAAAATATACATTTTTAATCATACAAATAATATATCATTTTTTTTGTTTAATTCTCATCTATTCATTAATGCTGTGTTTTTGGATATATAAAGTACTTTTGTATCCATATACCACACAATTCCTCAACTACACCATTAGTTTGCATGTGAATTTTTTTTTTTTTTTTTTTAATGATACATTGCATTTATGCTCTAGCACTAGGTCTTCATTTCTGTGTAAAAATTTTCAGATTTATGCCGGATTAAATTTTTTTTTTTTTTTTTTGACACATGAAGAAAATATATTTAGTTTTTTCACATTTCCCATTCATTTCAATGTGGGGTCATATTAACCCTGAAGACCAGAAGTGTAAACATTTTTTTACATACCTTCAGAACAACCAAATCAAGCCCATTTTTTTGTGTGTGTGTGTGTGTGTATAGATAAATAATGTATGAAAAGTCACAAAATCTTATTCCACTGAGATGAAGGGAACCTTTTATTTTATTAAAAGTAAAAGTCGATTGGTGTCGTATAGACCCCATGACCCGATAGAGGGTTAAGATTCCTAATGAGAAATAAAAATGAAGCAATTATTGACATACAATAAAGCATATCAGCAGTATAGAGCTTTAAATGTAATGTGCACACATCCGATCAGTTGCTCCTTTTTTTGAGAAGCAGAAGGCTTTAATCTCACTGCCGTCCAGGAGAAGCGAAAGAGGCGTTTTTTCTTTCCCATGGGAATGTGGAGGAGAAGTGGAATATGTTTCTACTCTAATTAAGGCCACATGAGAGTATATGTGCACACAAGCATACTCAAGTGTGTGTGTGTGCGTGCATCTGTGTGTCTGCTCACCCATGACCATGATGTCGTACTCGATGAGGAAGAAAGCCTCCTGGCTGCTCTGCATGATCAGGGTCAGAGCGTCAGCATGTTTCTGCCTATTCACAGCAACACCGTTCACACTCAACACACGGTCGCCCGCTCGCAAGGTTCCCTCTCTGACAGACGGAGAAACGCGGAGAGACGTCCGTAAAAACACAAAAAAGACAGCAGCAGGGATGAGACGTGAATGCAGACGTCAACTAGAAAAGCATAAAAGATAAAAGCATCCTTTTGCATGAACAATAAACATTGTGGAAGTGTAATTATCGAGCAAATCAAATTCACTTCAAAGCATTATGTCGAAACAGAGTGTGCTTTCATATATATAGATGTGTGTTTTATCTGTGTGTGTGTGCGCTTCAGGCTGTGTTCTACCCTTCTCACTCATTCTAATGTCATCAGCCTATGCTTCAGTTAACATGTGTGCCTCCAGAACCAGCTTACAGGGTTCAACGATCACACACACAACATATAGAATGCTCTCATAAATGTACACCATTATATCTAAGTCAAAATAAAAACTCTTTATGGAAATATACAGACAAATATCCTAGACGGATGCACTGATGTGACACACACACAAAGCTTCACGATGATTCAGACTGCTAATTAATAAGCAGAGATGTTCTGAAGGGCCTTGTCTTTGTGGTATAAACGTGTCTCACACACACAGAGATTGTGGTCTCACCTGTCTGCGGGTCCGCCGGGCCTGACGTAGGTCACCGCTAGAGGTCGAGCCTTGTGCCAGTCCTCGTGAAAGCCCCCTGAAAGCATGTGAAACGCACACCTGAATGTTGCCTTTAGTAATAGTAATAAAATGCAGCTCAACACATACGCACACACACACACCACTTGCTGCCCTTGAGAGTAACACAAATGCTTTTAAATAACTTTTTAGAGATCTGTTCCATGCTGTGGATTCCCATAGACATACCAAAAGGATGAAAAATACAGAGAGATTGATTACAGCAGTCAGAAGAGAGAAAAGCCGTGTTAGAAACACCCTCATTGCAGTGATGATACCATAGACTGTAAAAAATATGGACAAAGCATCTGTGACGTCACCCATAGACTCTCTTAAGAACGGGTTTGAAGCTGTTTAAAGTTTTTTATACACAAACAGAAATTTAATAAGTCTTCCCTATATTTTAAGCACTTTATTTTGGAACTTAATTTGCTTCTTAAATCACACAAACTTGTGAAGAACAAGAAGAACAGAAAACTTGTTTCTCAATATTTTGACCTATTCCCCAATTCCTCCTAACATCCTTATTATTTTTCCTCTTTCATTTACCATGTATGTATGTATGTTTCTTTTTGTTGTTGTTGTTGTTTTTTTTGTATTTGTTTTGTTTTTTTCTTGCTTTTGTTTTTGGTATGGTTTTGTCTGTACAAATGCTTGATTGTATATTGATGTTCTTCTTGTTTGTACCAGTTATTGTTATCAATAAAAAAAAATATATATATAAAAAAAAAAGGTTTGAAGCTGTTTATGGGGGGTATGGGCGGCGCCATACTGGAAAATCTTGGGAAATACAAAATACTAAAGTTTCAGAAAGGATACAGAGGTGGTATGATGTGTTGTGTCAGATCAAGGCCGAGACGTCAAATTCTCTTGGCGCAGCCCGTTATCAGCTGTCAATCAAAGTTAACCGTCCTTATTTGTCATAAGTTTTATATCTAAATAGGATCTAAAAACTAACGAGTTAGAAAAAAAAATCACCCCCCTCACAGTTGTCAGGCACGCGGAACATATTGAAGATTACAATAAAAGTCCATGGGACCAAACTGTAAACATATGAATTTATGCTGTGAAAACGGACATTATGACGTCTTTTGCTTCCTTTTTGGGACCGCCCTCTAGCGGATTTGAGATGTATTGCAGTTTATCGCATTTCCGGGTAGGCTTCATCGTTGTTTTATTCTAATTTACTGGCAAGGTAATATAACACAAAATGTAGTGTTATAAATGTTTGAAACTTTTTTTTTATATATAAAAATTAGGGGTGTAACAATATATCGTGCCACAATATATCGCAATACAAAAATGCAACAATATGTATCGTGGATAATTCCCCCAAAATCAAAATTACTGTGTAAGAAAAAAATTTTTCAGAGTTTTAGTGTCTGTACTATATTAAACTACTATATATAATGTATAATAATGCAATGGGGGAATATTTGTGGGTCCTGATAATGGCAAATGTCTCATGTTAGTAAAAAGTGGCTGACATTATTTTCAATATATCTAGTCAGTGAAGCCGTGCAAGCATATTGGTCTAAAATAATTCTGTATTTTCAGCTTCAGAATCATATTGTATGTATATGTCACCATTGTCCTTGGGTTACAAGCTCCAGGTCCAAACCTAATCATTTAAACCCACAATGTAATATCAAAGTTAGCATTTTAATCAACACTACATTTTTTGTTAACCTTTTATCATATGTCTTGGAGTATCACGATATTATAATGACATGAGGGCATTGTTACACCCCTAATAAAAATATTTAAAAAAGTGGAAACTGTGGAAATGCATTGTCATAGTCTGTGAAAAGGGTTCATTATCCATTTCATTTTTTTAGTAAGTGTTTTATTATAGAATAATTATTTTTTATTTGACTTTTTTCTTCTTTTACAGCAGTATTTTTCCTCAGTTTAAGGGTCATAACATTTGAAAACACATTTATGCAAAGACATTTCAGACATTTCTAAATTTCACATAAATTCAGTTCTTTTGATCTTTCTATTTATCAAAGAACCTTGAAAATAATGCATCACAGTTTCCACAAAATATTAAGCAACTGTTTTCAACATTGATAATGTTTCTTGAGCAGCAAATCATCATATCCGAATCTGAAGGATCATGTGACACTGAAGACTAAGTAATGATGTAGTAATGTAGTAATGTAGTAATGAGTAATGATGCTGAAAATTCAGCTTCGATCACAGGAATAAATTACATTAAATTAGAAAACGGTTATTTTAAGTTAGCGGTGCACACAATATTATTGTTTTTACTTTACTTGTAAGCCTTGTTGATTTTTTATGATTTCATGCATTGTTAGCACAAACCCCCTGCAGTTCCCTCACGAACCCCAGTTTGGGAAAGCTGTCGTTGTATTGAACCTGGATTATTTCAAGCCATCATTTATGTGTTTTTCCTCAATTCAAGGGTCATAACACATGAGATGTTAGGGTAAAGACATTTCAAGCTGTCTGATTGGGATTCAGTACCTCTCAAGACGAAACCAAAGCTGTTGCCTTCTTTTTCCAAGCACACTTCGATAGTTTTAGAGATGACGCCGCAGAGATTGCTGGGAGCTAAACCCACAGAGAACAGCTTGAGATACAGCTTTACACACTGAAATGTATGTATGTTTACTTTCACAAGACCATAAACACCAATGCTACAATACAATTATCACATTTAACTTGAGGACTCCAGAAAAGCCCATTTACATATCAAGCATTGTTGTGGTACTAGCAGTATCACGTACTTTGATATTTATACTACTCACATATTTATGTTCTATGGTGTTTGCTTCAAAGAATACCGTACATTAACAATAGCTTGGGGTCAGTAAGATTTTTTTAAAGAAATTGATACTTTTAATCAGCAAGGATGCATTAAATTGATAATAAATGACAGTAAAGATATTTATAATATAATCAAATACTGTTCTTTTATACTTTATATTCCTCAAAGAATCCTGAAAGAAAATGTATTCCACAAAAATATACGCAGCACAACTGCTTTCAACATTGATAATAATAAGACATGTTTTAGGAGCAGCAAATCAGCATATTAGAATAATTTCTGAAGGATCATGTGACACCGAAGACTGGAGTAGTGATGCTAAAAATTCAAAGGAATACATTATTTTAAAATATGAAAATAGCACATTTTTAAAAGTCATTAATATTACACAATATCATTTTTATTTTTAAGTTTTTACTGCATTCTTGATCAAACAAATGTGAATATTGGAGATGCGTGTGTCCGTACCGAATGGAGGCAGCTCGTACTCCACCTCCAGCACCACACGCTCTCCAATGTTCTTCAGCATGCTGATGATCTCATCGTGTCTGAGCTTGGACAGGTTTATCCCGTTCACTGACTTTATGTAGTCGCCGACATTGAGCTGGTCACTCCTGCCACACAAACACAAGATTGAACAAGATTAAATATATATATATATATATATATATATATATATATATGCACAGTATGCAGTGATAAAAGATGGTAACATGCATAGATTTCTGGTTTATCTGTCTAGGCAACAGAGTAAACTTATTGAGTTTTTTAAAGCATTATTTCCTTCATATAACATGATTATTTTATAATAGTTCAAACAATAGAGCACGTCACTAGCAATGCCAAGATCATGGGTTAAAAAAAGTCACCTGGATACAATATACTGTACGTCCCTTCTGATAAAAGTATCTGATGCATAAATGTTAATTATGTGTTTTGCACAGGCCCAAGTTTCATGCAATGATACGTGCCACTTTTATAATATGAAACCTACATTTAGTAAGTCCTTTTAAGGCAAATAAAGGTTAATTCATCAGCCATCTTGGAAAAATTCTATTTAAATCCAAGTGCGGCTCATAACAGCAGTTTTTTTATGTTTCAAAATATATTTCAAATCGCCTATAAGATCTGACAACAATAGTAGGCCTCTTTATTTCAAATTACAGTAAAAAAAACGACACAAAACCTCAAAAACATTAAACCTTACGCATTATATATTGAGCCATCATATTAAGCATCACAATTTTCCCCTTATACTGTTTCCCATAAGACATATACAGAAATATACAAGCAGAACATACACTAAAGTTCAAAAATTTGGGGTTAGGGTGATTAAAAAAAAAGAAATTAATACTTTTTAGTCAGCAAGAACGCGCGTTGATTTCTGAGAGATCATGTGACACTGCAGACTGGAGTAATGATGCTGAAAATTCAGCTTTGCATCACAGGAATAAATAAAAAATATTTAAATATATTCAAATAGAAAACAGTTATTTTAAATTGTAATTATATTTCACAATATTTTGTGATGCTGAAAATTCAGTTTTGCATCACAGGAATAAATTACATTATAAAATATATTCAAATAAAAAAACATTTATTTAAAATTGTAACAATATTTAGCAATATTTTTTTTTTTAATATACTCAAATAGAAAACTAAATTGTAATATTTCACAATATTAATGTTTTACTGTATTTTGATAAAGAAAATGCAGATGAGCATAAGAGACTTCTTTAAAAAAAAAAACTTGACATTGACATTCATCTCCTTCACAGATCCAAAAGCACAATATTAAATCCATATAATACAGCTGCACTGACTACACAACACGGTAAATCATCTCTATACTGCTTCTGCTGCAGAAATGTGTGTGTTGCGTTGTGTAACAGGTACCTGTGTGTTGTGTGAGTGTGATGTTAGTAAAGCTGACTTCTCATGTACTGTTGTAGAAGCTAATTTAAGCCTCTGCTGTCACCCAGCACTGGGATTTTGCCTGTAAGCATCGCATTAACTGAGACAACGACACACGCTCGGCACCGCCACAATGACGACGCACTACTTCATTTACACGTGAGCACACAACCAAAGGCAAAACCAAACACATCTGCATGAGTTAAACAGCATTAACACACATATTGTACTAATTACAAGCTCTCACATCTGCACTAGACCTTGATAAACTGATCATATAAAAGCATAAGCGGTAAACTCGGTTTATATCACCTGTCTGCGAACAGGAATATGCACATCAATCCTGTGTGTGTGTGTGTGTGTTTAGCGGTCACGTTAGGACTGCGTCAGCCTGTCACACATAGAGGCTGATGTGAATGAGCAGCCCACATCCTGAGGACGGACACACACACACACACACACACACAGCTCAGATCCTGAGGTTAAAGAGCTGTGTGAGTAAACATGGGGCATTGCACACACTACACATCATTGAGATACTATTATAGTTGTTATTCACATTTTTATTTCACAGTTTTTTAGGGGGGGGGGGGGGTCTTTTTATTTAAAGAAATTACATAAAGGATTCAAAGGGATTTAAGGGAATAAAGACGAAATAAGAACAGTAAAAGAAGTTCTAGGTGTAATAGTAGCCTATAGTTACTCTTTGCAAATAATATTTCCCTTTCACACACAGATAACGTGTCCCGGGAGCGCTTGATTTTGGTTCATTCACACGGCCTGTGATTTTCTGAAATCTGTGTGTGCGTTCACACACCTGCCCGTAAAGAAATGTCACGTGTTTAACAACATTTTTCCGTCCTTGATGAACATAAACCTTCTTAATGTGCAACATGAACGTTGATTTGCATTTAAAACCCCATAGGTATAAACACTATAGATGTCGCCTTGGCTACGGCAGTTCATTAGAACGAATGCGTCAATAGAGCCGCCATCTTGGAACAGGCGAGCCCCTCCACTTTAATGCATCAGCGTCTATTTAGCAAAGGTCTAACGGAATTAAAATCAGCATAAATCATCATGAATGCGATTTTCTCCTTTTTTTGGTTCGTTCCAACAGACAGACATGTATTTATCATTGATTCCTGAAAAAAAAAATTGCAATTTTATTCGTGTGAACATCATACACAGCACAAAAGTCCGCCACCATCAATTAATTTGAAGTAAAGGCAGAGATAGCAGCTACTTCCTATGACAAGACCCCTGTTCCAAGATGGCGGCGGTTTTGACGCATGCTTAGAACCCCAAGGTGACGTCTAGTGTATATGACTATGTTAAACCCCCGATCAAAGAGTCGCACCATAACTACGTCCTTGCAATGACACATGCGTCATCTCTACGACACACCCCTTACGACATCGGTCCTGCCTTTTCTTCACACAGGGCATAAACGTTACTCAGTCCCCATCGTGTTTGCGTTCACACAGAAGGTTTTCTATGGCAATTTTCTGGGTTTCTGTGTGAAATGGGCTTTAAAAATATGTATACATTCACTTGTTTGTATGTCTTATATGTAAAAAAACACTAAATGTTTGTTGTTTTATCACATTCAGTTATGAATGACAAGGACCGTTTAAATGAAAGCATCTTTTCAATTCAAAATATCAAAATTCCCCCAAAACGTTGAGTAGTTTGCATCACTATATTACTGGGGGTTGTTAAACACATCCATCGTTGTCAAATATATAATGTTTAGCAGCACACACTCCTTCACTGTAAAAACTAAAAGCGTTGTGTCGGATTTCACACACTCGTCTTCGGTGAACAGTAAGCCCCGCCTTCTTTGAGCTGATTGGCCATTATTTTGACCTTGACAAGCACTGTTAGACCACAGAGGCATTCAACCTAAAATTTTTACTTTTTAAACTGTTTGTCATCCTAACAACAAACAGAGATGTGTGTAATGGAGAGTAGCATTTACAATATCAGAAAATGTGCATTTCCAATTATTTTCCCTCTCAATGCGGTGGCTACGGCCCTGGAAAACACACAACTGAAAGCTGTGAAAGAGCTGTAAAAAAGCAACCTTTAAGAAATGAAATTTTTCTACTGCCGGTTGAGTCACTGATGTGTTTCTCACCGGGCCGCGAGACCTCCTGGTCTCAGGTTTGACACTCTTGGCTTGCCGTCCTTGTCACAACCTCCGGAGATCGTGAGGCCGAGACTGCTGCCCTCTTTTTTAATCAGTTCCACCGTCGTCACACCTCTCTGCTCATCTGTGCGTACACAAACACACACACAGTAAAACACACATGCAGCAGCGTATGGACATTCGCAGCAGGTAAGTCTCCCACAGGGAGCTTGTGTAGCCATGCATTGTGACATGGAACTCAGATTCATTTAACCATTTCATGAAGGACAGATGGTAGTATGCAGTGTGTGTAGCAGGCTGTGTGCAATACATGCATACATTATGCAAACAAACATGTCCAAACATGTCCAAGCAATGTAAAAACTAACTTTTTTATGAGGAAAAACATTACGCCAATTTTCATATTGGATACTTGGAATCAGCCAAAAGTGTGTGTGTGTGTGTGTGTGTGTGTGGACACTTGGAAAAAGCCAAAGTGTGTGTGTGTGTGTGTGTGTGTGTGTGTGTGTGTGTGGACACTTGGAAACAGCAAAAAGTGTGTGTGTGTGTACAGTAATATTGTGGAATATTACTGTGCTTACTGTTTTCTTTTTGAATAAATTTTAATGACCAATTTATTCCTGAATTTTCAGCATCATTACTCCAGTCTTTAGTGTCACATAATCCTTCAGAAATCAATATGCTGATTTGCTGCTCAAGAAACATTTCTGATCATTATCAATGTTGAAAACTATGGAAGCTTGTTTCCGCCACTGAATAATATATATATGAAGAGTTCAGATGCAAAAGCCTCTAAATGCCATTTGAAATTTTCTTCTTTAATGATGATTTTTATCAAACTTGTATATTTAAGTTCAGTAATTTCACTTAAATAACAGTTAATAGGTAATTATCATTGCCATTTAAGTGAAATTACTGAACTTATATATACAAGCTTGATCATTGATCAAGCTTGATCATCACAAAATGATCATTCTAGAAGAAAACTTCAAATGGCATTTAGAGGCTTTTGCATCTGAACTCTTCATATATAATTGCGACTTTTATCTCACAATTATGAGATATGAAGTCAGAATTGTGAAAAATAAAGTCGCAATTATGAGAAATAGTCGAAATTGTGAGATATGAAGTCGCAATTCTGAGAAATAGTCGCAATTGCGAGATATAAAGTTGCAATTATCAGATATAAAGTTGCAATTATGAGAAATAGTCACAATTGCGAGATCTAAAGTCGCAATTATGAGAAATAGTCGCAATTGCGAGATATAAAGTTGCAATTATGAGAAAGTCGCGATTGGGAGATATAAAGCCGCAATTATGAGAAATAGTCGCAATTGGGAGATATAAAGTTGCAATTATGAGAAATAGTCGCAATTGGGAGATATAAAGTTGCAATTATGACAAATAGTCGCAATTGCGAGATATAAAGTCGCAATTCTAAGAAATAGTCGCAATTGCGAGATCTAAAGTCGCAATTATGAGAAATAGTCGCAATTGCGAGATATAAAGTTGCAATTATGAGAAAGTCGCAATTGGGAGATATAAAGCCGCAATTATGAGAAATAGTCGCAATTGGGAGATATAAAGTTGCAATTATGAGAAAGTCGCAATTGGAGATATAAAGTTGCAATTATGACAAATAGTCGCAATTGGGAGATATAAAGTTGCAATTATGATAAATAAAGTCACAATTGCGAGATATAAAGTCGAAATTCTAAGAAATAGTCGCAATTGCGAGATCTAAAGTCGCAATTATGAGAAATAGTCGCAATTGCGAGATATAAAGCCGCAATTATGAGAAATAGTCGCAATTGGGAGATATAAAGTTGCAATTATGAGAAAGTCGCAATTGGGAGATATAAAGCCGCAATTATGAGAAATAGTCGCAATTGGGAGATATAAAGTTGCAATTATGAGAAATAGTCGCAATTGGGAGATATAAAGTTGCAATTATGACAAATAGTCGCAATTGGGAGATATAAAGTTGCAATTATGATAAATAAAGTCACAATTGCGAGATATAAAGTCGCAATTCTAAGAAATAGTCGCAATTGCGAGATATGAAGTCGCAATTATGAGAAATAGTCGCAATTGCAAGAAAAAAAGAGACTTTTTATCTCACAATTCTGACTTTATTTCTCACAATTGCGAGTTTACATCTCGCAGTTCTGACTTCATAACACATAATTGCAAGTTTATATCTCGAAATTCTGACATCTTTTCTCAGAATTATGAGATATAAACTCGCAATTGCGAGTTCAGGACATTTCTAAGGAAAATTGCTGAGTAAAATAAAATTATTACTTTTTTAAGTTTCTTACTAAGGCTAAACTTTTGAAAATTAGTGAAAATGTTTTTAATGAGGAAAAACAGTGTATTTGTATTTCTTTGTCAAAAACAACACAATTTATCACAACAGTACATACTTTCTTAAATTAACACACAAATATTATATATGATTTAAGAAAAAAAGAAATACACTTATACACTTATGTATGGGGAAGATTTTGGATGAAGAATCTGTAATTACTCAACTAATTATGACAGAATAAAGACAAATTGTTTGATAGCTTTTACAAACAGTTATGATTTGTGCATTGGTTTAACAATAATTACTTTAATAACATAAAAACGGAATCTCTTAGATTCATATGTATAAATATGGGGTTTTGTCACTAACAAACAATATAATACACATTTTTGTAAAATACCACAAATATTTAGATAAAGAAAATAATAAATTTCACTCATAACAGTAATGAGGACACCATTAAGGAAATAAGATTATTTGTTTCCGCATGACAAAATGAGTAAAAAAATTCTATAATGCTATTTATTATATAATTCATTACTGCTGTTAAATCTCTATAGTGACTCTCAGACAGTGAGTGTCAGTGTGGTAGATCATTAAAGACAAAATAACTGACACTAATTCCTCACAAGCCCAAGGGATAAAGAGAAAAGAACAGAGAGAGCGACTGAGGGGGTATAGCAGCGGTCCGAAGACTCAAATATCAGCATTATCACAGACGAACAATCTCTTCACCTCAAGGTACGGGACACTGTATGTGTGCTGAGGCAGAACTCCTTCCTAAAGAGTCTCAATCTAGAGCCGATCACACGTCTGATACAGAGCAGGGGTTTCATGAGGAGCATTAAATTAGTTCACTTTTTGAAAAAACTCTTGCTGATAAGACCCTTATTCATCGTCTGGTGTCGTTTAAAGCCCTTTGAAGCTGCACTGAAACTCTCATATGGACCTTGAACCGTTTGGTTCCCATTGAAGTCATTAAACATCTTGGGTGGCATGGGGGTGAGTAAATTATCAGCAAAAGTTTTTTTAAAAGTGAACTAGTCCTTTAACAGCAGTTATCTGCAGGTTTTAGTTCGAGATGTCCTCACTGCAGAACATGAAATCCACTGGGAGGAGTCGGATCCAGATCCAACTCCTCCCACCTTACATATACCTAAACCTACCCAGCTCCACCCCCTGATCCCTAACCCCACACCTAAACCAACCCAACTCCACCCCTCAGATCTGGATCCGACTCCGCCCCCTGGATCTCGAGTACTGCAATGAGCTGCTACTGTTTAGTTCTGCCGGGTCACATGCCAACTTACCCGCGAGACTGCACCTCTTGGTGAGGCCGCTGCTGTCACCCGCAGCGTCTTTACTTCCCTTTGTATATGGGACATCATCTGAAACACAAAATGATTAAATCAATTATAATTTAAAAATTACAAATGGATTTTACTCAATTATCAGACTTGGACTGATCGTTTTTTTAAAAACATTTAAAAGTGAATTTAACCTCAAGTCAACATGAAACTGCATTTGCAAACCATTTGACTTATTTTTTTAGTGAAGCAGGATATACAACACGAAAATCATATGTAAACGTGTTCTTCTGGTAAGTCCTATCTTAATGAATATCCTGTTTCACTTGGAAAGATCCATTATGGAAGCATGGGTTGTGAAAACGGATTCACTTTAAGTGACTTTAACTCGCATGTCTGATAATATAAGTCAGAATTGTTCTCTTCATTTTTTGCTAAACCTGGAAATTTGAAACTGTTGGTCTATACACAACTGTTCAATAGTTTTTTGAAACATGTCTCTTCTGCTCAGCAATGCAGCATTTATTTGATCAAAATACAGTAAAAACAGTTATTTTGTGAAATATTATTACAACTTAAAATAACCATTTTCTATTTTAATACATTTTAAAATGTAATTTATTTCTGTGATGCAAAGCTGAATTTTAAGCATCATTACTGATGACTTCAGTGTCACATGATCCTTCATCTTAATATGCTGATTTGCTGCTCATGAAACATTTCTGTATATTATTAATGTACAGTTGTGCTGCTTCTTATTTTTGTAGAAAATGATTTTGTAAATTTTTCAGGCTTTTTTGATGAATAGAAAGTTAAAAGAAAAGCATTTATTTGTTTTTGTAACATTATAAATGCCTTTACTGTCACTTTTGATCAATTTAATGCGTCCTTGTTGAAGAATAAAATGACTACTTTCTTTACAATATATATATATATACAATATAAACAATAAACAATATATACTGACCCTAAAATTTTTAATGAAATGTATTAGCAGGGCCAGGGATTCACAAACATTTGTTTTTAAAGAGATACTTCATTAGCATTAAGCTTTGTATTAGTAGAAAACCTGTAAACCCTTGAGTATTCTGAAAGGCGCTATATAAAATAAACATATTATCATTATCATAGTCCAACCTGAGCGTTAACAACCCATAAATGTTCAGCTGCCCTTTAGGCCAAAAGGCTAAAGAAACCAACATCACACAGACTGTTTGTTTCAGAGGTCATAGGTTCAAAACATCACACCACTGCTTTAACAGTCAATCACACATCTATGAGTATTCAAAATCAGCAAACGTTATATAACTGAGACGCACAGCATCAGCTCTGAAAGTCACAGCAGAGTAAAACTGTCATTATGGGTCAAGATAACTCAATTTTCCAAGTCTATTAAAACTCTGAAACTAATTTGGAGCAAGCCACTCTGACGGCCCTGGTTGTGTTGACACCAATCCTGATGTAGGTTAAACGGATGATGTTCGAACAATGCAAATGGAGGCTCAGGGCTTATTTTCAGAGTTGGGATTTTATTAATAGAGGCCACAGCGGCCCCAGTTGTCACCCCACGCTCAGCTCTGAACAGGCTTTTCCAGCAGCAGAGCTGGAGCTGAAAACCACACGGCCCGGGATAAAACTAATAAATGTGTGGGCCTCGTCTACCCTGGCCCAATACGAAGACAACTGCATAGAGGACCATAACGGACCCTATACAGGACCCGGGTCGACAACCTGCAAAACAACAGATCCTTCTGCAAAAATTACATTCTTAATGGTTTGATTTGAAGTAAAGTGAATGATGAATATTATTTGTTTGTTACTGTATGTGAAGAACCATAAACATAAACTGTACAAGATGAAATCATTTCAAACCAGCTTACACAAACACAAAAGTAGCAAAGATACTGCTGTTTTGGACATGTACTAGGGCTGTGCGACTCTTTGGAGAAACTTTATAATGTAAATAGCATGGTATGAATGTGGTAATCATTCAGGTACCATAAAATACCAATTGACACCATGTACATTTTTGAAAGGGTAAACTAGATACCTTAAGAAGCTGGGTGTAAAAAAATAGTTAACTAACTAAAAAAATACATACATTTTAATTCAGTAAAAGTTTGGGGTTAGTATGATTTTTTTTTTTTAGAATTTAAAAGAAATTAATATTTTATTTTTGATTTTCGACTTATTTTCGAAATTAATATTTTATTTTAAGACATTCATAATGTTACACAACACTTCTATTTCAAATAAAAGCTGTTCTTTTTAACTTTCTATTTGTCAGAAAAATGCTGAAAAAAAGTATCATAGTTTCCACAAACATATTAAGCAGCAAAACTGTTTTCAGCAGTGATATTAATACGAATAATTAGCATAGCTATTAGAATGATTTCAGAAGATTTCATGTAAAATGTAAATGTAAAATATATGTAAATATAGAAGGATGTGTTTTGAATCACAAGAATAAACTACATTTTTAAAACATTCAAATAGATTTAAAAATTTTCTATTGTAATAATATTTCACAACGCATTCTCACCCCAAGGCGTCACCTTTGACCATGCTTCAATATTTGACGTTTTAGGCGCCCTTTAGCGTCACTTACATGACGCGATCCTACGGCGTCATCTAACTGACGCTAAAGGAAAGCGTCTGTTAGAGGACGCGGTTAGGTTTAGGTGTGGGGTGGGGGTAGGGTACACGCGATCCTAGGGCGTCATCTAACTGACGCTAAAGGGCGCCTAAAGCGTCAGATATTGAAGCATGTCCAAATGCTTCCCAAGGCGTCAGTTAGGTGACGCCTTGGGAGTGAGAATGGGCTGTATTTCACAATACTACTGTTTTCATTACATGTTTGTTCAAATAAATGCAGTCCTTCAAAAACATGAAACAATTTAATACAAGAAAGGATTTCTAAAAATGACTCACCACTATTGTTGCGACCCTCTCTCCCAAAGCCACACAGCATCATGGGAATATCACGATTCCATTCTGCCAACAACAGTTTAGAAACTAACTAAATCGACCAAACTGACCGTGTGTTAAAGCAGACACATGGAAATGAACATATAATTAGGCCACATGACATGTGTGACTTCAGTTATGATTCCTTAGATAGAATCATCTTTGAAAAGCAATGAATCAGTGATCCGGAGGAAGACAAGCATCAATCCATTCAGCGCAGAAGATTCACATCTCAATGCTTTTATCTCCTGTTACAAATCATAGAATTCCACAATTTTTCCATCAAAATGTGCAGATCATCTGAATCTCAGCAGGGTAAACGCAAGCGACTGCAAGAGTGTAATGCATGAATGACTGACTGAAAAAGTGTGTTGGGAACTGGATTATTCCAGTGTCACTCCAATTTGCTCTTTCCAAACAGCATAACGTGGTTATAACGCTTGCCAATCCGCACATGCAACCTGTCTCCAGTCAGTCATCCATAAAACACATGTGATCCACTCGCTCGCACAGATTCAGTCCTGGGTTTCTGAGGCAGATGGTGGTTCATCCAGAGATGACAGCGCTGCAGTGTGGGAACGCATCCGAACGCTCCAGTGCTCCACACAGATCATCCCCGGACTCCTTCTCTCTTTTCTGTCACTCCTCCCTCACTTCTTGAGCTTCTTACTGTTCACACGTGCTCTTCCATCCTGCACTGACCTATTAATCATCTCCGTTCACACACAAACACAGTCTTCTTCCTAACAGCAAGATACACAAATATGAAAAGCACAGCCAAACCCCATCACTAGAGTAACTCTCTCTCTCTCTCTCTCTCTCTCTCTGCCCCCACGTGCCTCACGCAGAAACACTTCCTCCTCCCTGTCTGTCTCTCACGTGCCCTTTCCCTTCATTTAACAGCTGAGCATCAAGTGTTAAACAGCCCTTGCAACATTTTACCATGGTAAATGTGGGTTAAGAATGCAAAAAACACACTTAGCGGCACAAATGTTTACAATATTGCTAATAATCAGAAATGTTTCTTGAGCAGCACATCAGCATGTAATGATTTCTGAAGAATCAGAAGACTGGAGTAATGATGCTGAAAATTCAGCGTTGTATCACAGGTATAAATTACATTTTAAAATATATTCACACAGAAAACAGATATTTGAAATTACAATAATATTTCATTCACAATATAACTGTTTTTACTGCATTTTAACAATATTTATTTTTTTGATCAAGTAAATTCAGCCAATGTGAGCAGAAGAGACAATTAAGAGCTTGTCTTAGTGTGAAACGTTTTACCATGTTTAATTGGAACTGTAATAAAACAAAACGATGCACCAAATGGATATATGGTACGTTGATATATAAGAGATGATACAGATATCAGATATGCATAGAATAGTTGATGTGATATATTGATGTAGGCTACAACATATTTATTGATTCAATGAATTTAACACCATGATGCATTTCAAAAATCTATTTGGTATTGCTGTCACACATTTCACTTAAATATTTCAGAGTACCATAATTTAACATCTGAAATATCTATTCTTCTAAGGGTATAAATAATTGGTATATGAAACTTTGATTTATACATCAAACCATCTGATACATCCCTATACATGCCTGTTTACAGTGATTTTTAATCTATTGTACTTTTAAAAAAAAGTATTTCTATGAAAAAAATTATAGAACCATATTTTACACACTTAATATGTGAATAATATGGCTTATTATGCGGCTCTCTAGAATACTCAATTCTGATTGGTCCATGATGGCATTCTGACGTAAAATTATTTTATTGACTGTTAATTTGTATCTAACTGTTGTCATATTTAACTGACATGCAGCAATTGCCATAGCTGTGCTCTCTTCTCACATACAAAACAAATATTTCAAGACAAATCAGAATTTTAGGACATTTTCAACACTGCTACCACAAAATAAAGGATAAAAGATCCTGATCACCCTGTCAGGGTTGAATTAGCAATAATGACTAAACATGATCAGTTTTCCCTTATTAAATGGTCTCAGACTTTAGAATCAAACTTGTGCATCATGCTGTTATTTTGTAAAAATCTAGCTTTTGCTTTATTATTCAAAGAAAGAAATCACGCCATGAAATGACAAACCAAAAGCAAGTCTATGTGAAATCTGTCTCAAATTTCATTTTTTGGGGTTGGTCTGTGTATTTTGTCTTGACAGCCGCAAGAGTCTGTGAGAGAAGACGAACAGCTGTTTTACCCATCAACACATTCCACACATTCTTCTCTTTATAACACCGAAAATAAGTTTCTTCCCTAACAACAGACGACACACTATATCCATAACACTTACAAAACATTCAACAAGTCACACTGACAATCTAATCTAACGGGAAGGGACTTTAAATTGATACAAAGTGATAATAAAGACTTTTTGTTATTTTGTTAGAAAAGGTTTCTATTTTGAATAAATGTTGTTCTTTTTTTTACTTTGTATTTATCAATGAATCATGAAAAAAGTAGGCTATCACATTGATTTTCAAAAACTATTTAAAGCAATACAACTGTTGAGGGATCATATGACACTGAAGACTGGAGGAATGATGCTGAAAATTCAGCTTTGCATCACAGGAATACATTTGATTTTTAAGAACATTAAAATAGAAAACTATTAACCAACATAATGTATATATCTATTTATTTATTTTCCAAATAATTTAGAACAAGAACGCGTTCGTCTAAGAACAACTAGCAGCTAGCAATCTAGCAAGTCCGTTCTTTGCATTCTTGGTTTGAGAAACAACGAGTAGTATGAAGCTGCAGACTCGGAGACCTGCATCTACAGTCCCCCTGCACCCAGAGTCCCGCATTCTCAGACCCCTCGTTTTTCGAGACAGCGCCTCCTATCAAATTGTATCGGATAAACATGTAAAGAACAAAACATGAGTAGGCTATCTTCAATTTTATAGCAAATCGTAGTAGCCTACTCGTTTGATTTATTTTTTAATAAAACTAATTTAGCTCATCGATACAACATATGAATAGTCCATTTAATAGCTATTTGTAAAGATAGTTTGTAACAAGATTTGAGCCGTTAATGTATGTTTTTCGCCCTCTTCCCCCCGAATATATTTAGATAGCTTACGTTTACGTTAGCCTTTAGCCTTGAACTTTTTGTAGAAATGTCTTAAATGCTGCAGTTATTTTCACTGCCCATTTTGTGCCCCCATATATTTTAAACCCACAAAGTTGTCCAAAGTTTAAAAACCTCTCAACTTGAGATTCTCAAGGGACACTTCAACAGAGCAGTGCAACATGGTAACTAACATTTGCAAACATATTTTTCTTTTTTTTCTTTCTTTCTTTTTGAAACATCATAAGACATGTGCTATCGGTCCTATGGAGTTGCCCCTGCCGAATCCAGCAACATATAATTTTATGATTATGCAAAGTGACTTATAAATGAGTTTTTTTAATGCAAAAAAACAGAAGACAAAAACTTAAGTCACGAACACTGTTTTTTCTTCCTTTTTTCTTTACAGCAAGATGATGTTTAGGTGATCATTAAATGAAGTACAGAATTGTTTGTTTTGTCTATTCTGATTTGATTTGTTTTGCTTCGCATTCAAAATATCAAAAAACAGATATTGTAATGGTAGCATGGTAATGTTAATTAGACCATTATAGGTTGAACATTGGAATTTTAATTTAAAAAAATATAAAAAAAAACATTGTAGCAATATAATATCACATAGCCTTACTATTTTTCTGAAGATAGTTCAATCTGCTAATTGTATCCCTTCCATCAGTAACAATTAGTTTTTTGACACATGCATTAAGCAGGGAACACAAATATTTATTGGATAATTTATTTGAAGACCGTAATATTGCATCCTATTGTTTTTAATTGCATTTGGATAATGCGCTGTACTCTGTGTGCGGGTGTTATTCGATCTTTTGAACAGCAGGAGGCGCTGTGTTCGAAAAACGAGGGGTCTGAGAATGCGGGACTCTCGGTGGGGGACTGTAGATGCAGGCTCCGAGTCTGCAGCTTCATAATATTGGGAAACAACACGTTTTTTTTACACTCTACAGCCCCCATGTGGCCGGATATTGTTTTGCAGGTCACTTCAGCTGATATAGGACAACAGATCTTGCATTCATTTCTCAGACCAACACACACACACACTAGGGGGTGGCCATATTTTGATTACCAAAAACCAGGACACTCGGATAGGCTACTCAAATGATTTACTCGAAATTTACTCAAAGATGCCTTATTAATGTCAATACATTTAAAGTAGGCTATGCCTCCTCTGTAAGGATAGACAATTGCTATATTTCAAGACACAAATTCAGATAGGGTCCTCAGAGGTTACTCAACATGTTTTATTATGAAAGGTTTCAGAAATTATGATGGAAATAATGTCTCTTCTGTATTATAAAATTAAATATATAAATAATAAATATCTAAAAGAAATACCTCCAAATTGAACAAAAAATAGCTCTCACAAACTTACAAAAACAAACTAAGAAAATATATTTATATCTTTAGTGTTATTCCTCTTTACCCTGTTTTGATCCTCATCCTCCTTGTTTGCCCATCTATATTTAGCTGTAAATCTGATATTTCCCAGCAGTTTTTTGAAAACCAGGACATTTTCATCACTTTATAAAAAACGGCCAGGACAGGGCGTGAAGCATGTCCTGGGAAAACAGGTCTGTTGGTCACCCTAACACACACACCTAATTAGACACAATGGCTTCCGCATGATTGCTCAATACAGCACTAACCTACATACAAATTACCCTTTACCTGTACAAACAGCACCACACCCACTCAAATTGTAAAGGTCACATTCTCTCGTCTCATGTCATACCTTTGACTCTTCCTCTGATAACTCCAATCCGACATCGCAAAGAAAACGAGAACATCTTCCTTTTCCCTTTGACTCCTCCAGCCAGTCCTTTCCTCACAGTCCCCTGAGTCAGGACCCCGGCCGGGAGCAGTTTAGGATTTACCGAACAACTAACATGCCACATGGCTCCTCTTTCCTTCTCCTCTTGCCCGTACCACACGGGTCTTTGCTTTGGGTGTCTTCCTCTCTTATCTTCCTCCTCTACGCTCTTTCTTCATCCTGAAAGAGCTCTTCATTCATTCTCTGTGGGAAATCCTGGCTTACTCAAATTTGAGGGTTTCAGAGAAACACGGCTGATCTCATTTCAACCTCTTCAAAGTCATGTCATGAAAATCTGGCTATGACTTAATAACAAATCTAGTTAAATAGTGGGCAGGGCTGATAACACCGTTGGGGTACGAGTGTGTTTGTTGGCTGCTCGCAGAGATGAGACAGATGGACTGAAGCGGCCTGCTACAGAGACACAGGCTGCCTGAACCACAGGAGAGACACACTACACTACCAGAAACTACTGTATGGTATTAGCACCATGTTTTGGTTATAGATGTTTAAATATTTGTATGGTAACCAATATAATGGTGGGGAGACTGGGGCAAGCTGTCACTTGAAAAAAAGTTTTATATCTCAGTTAATTGTCCAATGAATTAACCTTTCTGTTATATTCCACACACAAAAAAAATTCCAATTTCATCACATTATTTATTATGGCCCAATGGACAAATAAAACCACATTAGCAAATGTGTGTAAAAAAAAAAAAAAAAAAAAAAAAAAAAAAAAACGTATGGTAGAAGGTGAGACAAGAGTATTTCAGGCCAGGTTGGCATATGGTGTAACATATAGGCTATATGTTAGCCAAAACAATGCTTTCATTAATATATTTTTTTATGTTATCTTTTTCTTTTTTATCTTCCCATTTTTACGATTTCATAAATCATTTTGTACTTCATAATTGTGAAACCTCACTGTATTATAGTGTCCATGGGCATTTTTCTAATTCTCTTATAGAAACTTTTCTTTCAGAGTCCTCAGTATCTTCATATTCAACAGCAGGAGCTAACGTTAGTTCATGCAGAACGTCAGTATGAACTATGATGGGAAAAATAATATCAGATGGGGGAAAATTGTATCTTCCTGATTTTGTGTTCCCCATGGGAAACTTGCATTTAGTTGAGTCGTTGCACACAAATCGAAACCACTTTGCTCTTGTGACATGCGCTACGACTCCAATAAAGCAAATAGATTTAACATTAACGTTACTTTTTATACAATGAACGACTGTGTAGACTGAGCAATGGACTATTGTTGACCTCTGGTACTTTATGAGGGAATCATTAAGGAAATAACACGATCACATGATGTGTAGCTAACGTTATTCAAAAGGAAACTGAAAAAAGGAACGGAAAAGGATTTCAGGAACTGTCGCAATTTCTAACTGCGTTTGCAAAATGGAGAGACCAATCGTGAGGTAAGATATAAAAAGTCTTCTTTCGATTGTTTCGATTTCAAAAAGTACACAAACTGACTTTATTGAACATATAACTTACTCTGAAGTGGCTATGGAGCAAATTACGGCACAAATAACCCGGTTTATGGATCGCCAGCAGTAGCAGGTAAGATAAGCTTTTGTTTTGATTTCACGCAATATCAGATTTCCACACGACGATTCCCCCCCTTATTCACTGCATAGGCTATATATGTATGTTACCTTATTCACTGCAGCGCCATCTTTAACGCGAAGAAGGCGTGGATGTGAGGGTTAAATACACATCATCTCAGTGGTTTTACTATCATTTGAACTGTTCTGCTGACGAAAAACTGAAAAAAAAATCTTTCCAAGGAATTTCAGCAGACAAAAAACTCAGACAATATAACCTGTGGAAAACTATAAGTGATCTAGGAGCTTTTTACAGCGGACACAATTGAAAACACGGTACGTGACGTTACGTCTATCCCTCACAGCTTCGCTTTCATTCATAACTTACCTGTCATGATGACGTTCATCTTACCACATTTTAAAGACTACTATACTATGGTAACCAGATTTTCCGCTTAAAGCCAATCTGTTTTTCAAAACAACGCTAACTGTTATACGTAAATGTATCGCTTCGTGCATAACGTTAATGTTACATTAAAAAAAGAAAAACATTTCAACTTATAGTATGTCTTACTATGTGTTATATACTCTTTCCAAAAAAAGCACCATGGTAATGAAAGCTTCCGGGAAAATAATACATGTACATTTAATTCAAAACTTTATAAAACCAACATTTTTACCATGGTAAAGTCCCATGTTAATATGGTATTCCGAAAAATACCAACAATGTAGCTACTTAAATGGTAAATGAAAAAAAAAAAAAAAATGTTAGTTACTTTTATGGCACTTTCTGTTTGTACTAGTCATATCATACCATTACCATTACCACTACTACTACCACAGTATTGAGACTGTAAAATATATATATATATATATATATATATATATATAAATATATATATATATATATATATATATATATATATATATTCAAAACAGTGTAACTTTTGAAGTTACTGTGGGAAACTCTACTATTACTACTATTACTATGGTAACCAGATTTTCCGCTTAAAGCCAAACAACGCTAACTGTTTACGTACATCTATCGCTTGCTTCGTGCATAACGTTACTGTTAAACATTTCAACTTATAGTACGTCTTACTATGTGGTATATTCTTTCCAAAAACATGGTAATGAAAGCTTCCGGGAAAATAATACATGTACATTTAATACAAAACTTTATAAAACCAACATTTTTACCATGGTAAAGTCCCATGTTAATGGTATTCCGAAAACTATGGTTACCAGATTTTCCGCTTAAAGCCAATCTCTTTTTCAAAACAACGCTAACTGTTTACGTAAATGTGTCGCTTCGTGCATAACGTTACTGTTACATTAAAAAACATTTCAACTTATAGAATGTCTTACTATGTGGTATATTCTTTCCAAAAAAGCACCATGGTAATGAAAGCTTCCGGGAAAATAATTTAATACATACTTTTAATACAAAACTTTATAAAACCAACATTTTTACCATGGTAAAGTCCCATGTTAATATGGTATTCCGAAAAATACCAGCAATGTAGCTACTTAAAACTATGGTAAATGAAAAAAATAAATAAAATGTTAGTTACTTTTATGGCACTTTCTGTTTGTATGTAAAATACTAGTCATATCATACCATTACCACTACTACTACCACAGTATCTTTATTGAGACTGTAAAAAAATAAATATTCAAAACAGTGCAACTTTTTGAAGTTACTGTGGGAAACTCGGAAGTGAAGACCAGGAGACATGGTTGTATCTTCCAGTATCTTCAGAAAGAGGAATTTTTATTGAGAAAGTTCTGTTGGAAGTTGCGTCATCCAGTCGAACTAAAGGCTGAATACACTACAAGACTTTTGTTCAGATTTTATAAGTTGTGTAGTGTATTCCTGGTTCAACCAGACTCTAGTACATTTCATTGAGCGGAAGTGCGTAGGAGGGCGCAGCCAGGCTAGTGTATTCCAGCCTTAGGGAAAATATATATTGTAGTTTATATACTAGATTTTAGGAGGCAGTGCTTAGAAATGGAGACAAAGCATCTGGAATACGAGCCTAAACAAAGCTAGCAAATGAATTATCCAAATATAAACCGCCCAGGCCCTATGTTACCTAATCCAATCAACATAACAATTCAAAGAATGGGACAGAGCAGAGGGGTGATAGTCTCAGTTTCGGACTCACTTGACTTACAATAAAGAAAACAACTGGCAGGAACCTCTTGCTAAAATCTTTGCTTAACAGAATCATTCTTCAGGTGCTAAACCTTAAATGCTAATATACTTTCTCTTAGTTTTTCATGTGATGGTATGTAAGGATCAGCGGATCTTAGAACAGGTTCTTAAATTTGTAATCCCACATTACCAGTTTTATTGTAGAAACAACTAATTAAAAGTGCGAAAACATTGTTAAACAAGTGTATTCTGTGTAGTTTTACAAAAAGTTTTGACATACCCTTTTATTGAGATTTTAGCACGCCACTTACAAAAAAAAATAATATTGCACTACTATGGTTTTTAGACATGATTCTATGGTAGTACCAGGATATTACTAGAAGTGCTGTGTAATATAAATTGGAATTCTGTGTAAATTCAGTACATCTGTCAAAATGCCAGGGATTAACAATCTTATACCATAACTATGGTACAGTTCCTAAAGCTGGTCACAACTAGCCTATACCGTATCTCTCAGTTTACAATCCAATTATCCACCCACTCCTCCATTCAACGCCGTCCAATAGCAGCCACTCTCAGACGTAAACCATACATTCCTGTACCAAAAGCAGTCTATTTAAGTCCTGCAACCATAGGCATTAGTTCTCACACCGCTCACCTCGAGAAATCACTGCCTTCAGTCTTTCAAGATCTAAAAAGTAAGTCCCTAACTATTTGGTGCAGACTTCTATAATATTATCTTAGCTTATTTGGCTAAGCAACTGAAAACTATTAATAACTGGCTATTTATAGGCTTTTTACAAAGTTATTTCAGCACAGGCCACTGTGACTGACCAATCAGAATAACATATTTCAGAAAGCTGTGCAATACAAAAAAGTTAAAGTTTAAATATGTAGTGACATTTGTAGCAGGATTTTATAAATGGTTAATAAATCCCTTTTTTTTTGTTGGCTACTTTCCTAACCGCTTTGTTTGAATGTCACTCAGCCATGGCAGCCCCACCCGGTGCAAGCACCCATCAACCTTCTGCTCCCCCGGCAAACATGTTCGATCCGGTCCCGGGATATGAAGGAACAGTGGCTGGCGGAGGAGGTAAGAAGCATGCAAAAATGTGATGTATTTCCCAGTAATCCGAGTCATGTTCCATCATGTTCCACAAAATTACAATTACTGTAAATCAAACTTAATTCTTTGTTCTATGACTAGCTTTTATCATTCACTACAGGGGGAAAACATTTCCTGTTAATGTAATCTGTACAAGTAGTTCAAACTAATATAATTTATAGAATATGTAATGCAGTCATATCTGACATGTACTGTAAAGCTTCATTGTTAAAGGGTTAGTTCGGTATTTTACAATTAAAATTAAAGCCCTGTTTTAAGATCGTTTCTGACCTCCCCCTGACCTCTGACCCCATGACTATATTAAAAACAAACCCACTGCGTATTCTTTAATTCATCATATTGTAGAAAAGAAAAGGTACATCACTCTCTTGCTCTGACCAAATTAGAGCGTTTTCAACTCGAAAATGCAAACTTCCCAGTAGGACTTAAAGGAGTAGTTCACTTTAAAAAAAAAAAAAACTTTTGCTGATAATTTACTCACCCCCATGTCATCCAAGATTCTAATAAGAAGATTCCAAGATAGATAATTTCTTTTCGACTGAAGAAAGAATGACATGGACATCTTGGATGACATGGGGGTGAGTAAATTATCAGCAAAAGTTTCTTTAAAAGTGAACTACTCCTTTAAATGCACCAATAGACCTTGTAGTTTTCAGAGCACTAAAATAGATGAATAAGCCTCTAGTTTTGTTACTGATGTGTCTCTCTTTTCACAGGTGGGTATCTTCCTCCTCCAATGCCAACTGTACCGATGCCTGTGCCTGAACAAGCCCCCAAACTACC